CTTCAGGTCAATTACACTTACAAAGTCTTTGTGTTAATAATAATATAACCTTGCATTTGATATAGCGCTTTTCACGTCTCAAAGTACTTCACAGAATATACTGTAAAGTGAATTGACTGTATATTTGTGGGCGAAACACAGCAGTCAATTGCGCACAGCAGTGTCCCACAAACAGTCGTGGATTGAGTGACCAAATTGTTAATAAAGGAGGTTGTAAATAAGGAGACCAAAGTGCTTTTTTTTTCTTGAGGGATTATTATCAGGCATGTAGAGTAAAACAATTTATATGTTCCCAAGGTCACAAGCTAAGTTTGGATGAAGAAGGCCGTTCAGCCTTTTGATCTTATCCTTTCAGAATACCCATGCTATCATCCTCCCATCACAGCATCAGTCTGTTTTTTTGAACAAGTTCAACATCCTGGCTGTAACACCCTTCCTGGTAACCCGTCCAGTTGTTAATCACCCTCGGGATAAGTAAATACTTCCTAGTATCTGTCCTGAAATTCCCATTTGCAATCCAAAACCTGTGTCCTCTTGTGCTATTGCTCAGTACATCTGGTAATATTGTTCTTTTCGACCGCGCCTTTGGTCACCTTCCTCCCTCTCACCTTGGCTCGGTCCCGGGATCCGTTACTGTAAAGAGCTCTGAGACAGCGTCCGGCGTGGAGGGCGCTATATAAATCCAAGTTATTGTTGTTGTTCTGGCTTTACCTTTTCAATCTGATTTAAAATCACATTCCTCCATAAGATCCCCTCTGATATGACTTCTCAAGACTGAAGATCCCTAGCTTGTCTAATCATTGTTCATAGCTCATTCCTCTAACATTATGAATCATCCTGGTTGCTGTGCTCTACACAGTTCCTGGGGGTTGGGCAGTCCCCCCCCCCTTATGTTACACTGCCCAGAAGTGCATGCAAAACTAGGTGGGGCTGATCAAAGCACTGCACAAATTGAGTATGATGTCTGGGGATCTGAACTCAACTGATATTGGAAATATAGCCAGGCATCCTGTTTGCCTTCTTCATTGCTGCCCACACTGTTTCGATATGGTCAGCAATATGTTAACTACAACACCCTTAGTTCTCTTTTAGCTTCCTGCTTGGGAAGTTCTATGTGCCGTGCCTTCTATTCTTAGTTCCTGTATGCAGAACCTTCATTTATCAGTGCTGAACTTTAATTCCCAGTTATCAGCCCATGTATATACCCTATAAATATCTATTTGTACCACCTCTGCTTACTCCTCTGATTCCTCTGCTGCCTTCTCTGTTCTTTCAACTTAATGCCAACTGCACATTTAACTACCTAATTTTGGGATCCAGACCATTATTATATACAAAGAATTGGGGGGAGGGGGTCCCAGTACAGAGTCCTGATGCACTCCACTTGATACCTGCCCCATTTTGACCTCGCTTGCCTGAAAAAGATCCTCTGCTTTCTTTCCTTCAGACAATTTTGAATCCATGTTCATTTCTTGTCCTTGATATCCAGGGCTACCAATTTGAAAGAAACTTCCATGTGGCACTTTGTTAAACACCTTTTGGAGTCTAGGTATACTATGTTGTATGGCTCCCCACAGTCAATTTGAGCCCTCAACAAGAGCCAGCCCTTCTGATCCTATGTTACCTATCATTTATTGGATTATTTTTATACATCTAGTCTTCAATTTTCTTTCTGATGATTGACTATATTATTTTCTAAGATCAGTTAATGGGTCTATAATTGCCAGAAGTAACTTTCTTCAATATAGCAACATCCACCTGCTTCCAGGCTATTGAAACCTCACCTGTGGTGATTGAATCCTTCATAATCCATCAGGTCTCCACAAATCTCCCGTCTTGTTTCCCTACATAATACACGGTACAGTACAACTGAACATAAGAACATAAGAATTAGGAGCAGGAGTAGGCCATTCGGCCCCTCGAGCCTGCCCCGCCATTCGATAAGATCATGGGTGATCTTCAGACCTAACTCTAATTATCTGTCCTATCCCCATATCCCCTAATCCCTCGTTTTTTAAAAACTCTATCAGTCTCAGCCTTGAAGATGTCCAAAGACTGAGCATCTACAGCCTTCTGGGGTAGTGAATTCCATAAGTTCACTACCCTCTGAATGAAGAAATGTTTCCTCAACTCTGTTCTAAAAGGCTGACCCTTAATTTTCAGACTGTGACCCCTGGTTACAGATTCTCCTACCAGGGGAAATAGACCCTCAGTGTCTACTTTATCCAGCCCTTTAAGAATCTTCTATGTTTCAATAAGATCTCTGTACTCTAGAGAATACAGCCCTAGTTTATTCAGCCTATCCTCATAGGTCAGTCCCCTCATCCCAGGAACTAACCTAGTGAATCTACGCTGCATCCCTTCTTGGGCAAGTATGTCCTTTTTTAAATAAGGAGACCAAAACTGCACAAAATACTGCACGCAAAACTGGGGGATTTGCTGCTTTTCAGCCCCTTGAGCCTATCTGGAATCTCAGCCTTGCTTATGTCAAGTCAAGTCCTGGTGCTCAAGCAATTTCTACTGGATGTTGGGGGCATGTTCTTAGTGTTCTTCCTGGTAAACCCCCTATAAATGGAAGTAGTCATTTAATATGTTCTCTTTCTGTTGCTAATTCTCTTTTTTAACCTCCTTAGGGGTTTAATGTCTTCCCTTACTACTGTTTTTTGCCATTGTGATTTAAACTCGCTGCTATGTCCCTTTTCTCTCCAGTCCCATCTTCAGTTCTCGTTTAACTTCGCTAATATATTTATGAATCTCTTCCTGTACAGTCTTATATTCAGCCCAATGGTCACCTTCTTTCTCCCTACAATCTTTGCAAACCCTTCCCATTTTTCTTTCAATATTCCTTTCAATTTTCCTATTGATCCATTTTGGAGTATTTTTATTTAATTTGCTCTGCTGCACTGGCTTTGTATTGTCTTGCATATCTGCATAATGTTTTTATAAGGAGTAAAAACCTAAGTATTACTCCTAGTCTATGTCACTTAGCTCAGCCCTCATATCCCTGACGTGTCCCTGTCTAAAGTTGAATACTAAAGTTTGGTTCTGCGCTTGTGCTGTTTCTCAAGTTAAATTGAATGTTATTGAGTTGTGATCACTGTCACCTGACACATTAGTAATTTGTACCCCATGAATAGTGTCCGAGTCACTGATTAAAACTAAGTCAAGAAGGGACCTACCCCTGTGGGGTCCCTGACACTGAGCCAGGAAGCAGTCATGCATTCTATTTCCAAGCTCAGAGCCCTTCCGTCTTGGATATCCACAGTTTATGTTGGGTTAGGTGAAGCCCCCGTCAGTGCTCCCTTCATTTTGTTATACTCATTCCTAATATTCTCATAAAGTGACAAATCATTCTACCAACTTTGTCTGTAGCAAACCCCAAATGTTCTTCCGAGCACATCTAACCAGAGGATCTCATACCATAATTGACCATACCAGCACTGCTGACTCAACTATTTATCATAGAATCCTACAGCACAGAAGGAGGCCATTCGGCCCATTGCGCCTGGGCTGGATCTTTAAAAGAGTTGTCCAATCAGTTCCACCATCTCACTCTTTCCCTATAGCCATGCAATTTTTTTTCTTTTCAAGTAAATATCCAATTTCCCTTTGAAAGTTATTATTGAATCTGCTTCCACCACCCTTTCAAGCAGCGCATTCCAGAACATAACAACTGGTTGCATAAAAAAATTCTCCTCATCTCCCCTCTGGTTCTTTTGCCACTTTACCTCCCACATGCCTCTCAGACATATCCCACCTTTCCTATCCCTCCTACATTTTCCACTTGCGTCCTTGTAAATTGTGTTCACTTTCATCATCCTGATTTTCCATGTCTCTTGTCATTCCCACCGCACTGTAATTACTGGTTACCACTAGTGCCTCCAGATCCACCATTTAATTTCAAGTGCTTCGAGCATTTATGCATATGGATTTAACATTACTTGTTACTCCCTTAAACTTCCTGCCTGGTTGCCTAGACTTGCTCTTTGGAGCTTTCTTGAGATCTTTGTGCTCTCGACTTAAGATGTTTGAATGAAACAAATGGGGTGATATAATAGCAGGTGTCACATCTGTAACAAGTAAATGTGCTCTTACTGGATGGAATCGATTAGTTCCTCCCCCAGATTGATTCCAGTCCTCTCTCTATCTGGTGGGTCATTGACACAATCTAAACTCTATATAAACCTATGAACACAACCCGTCTTCACAGAGGAAACCCGACAAGTCCTGACTCATGTCAAAGGAGGGCTTTTTTTTAACAGACAAATGAGACAGACTGCAGATCCATTGTCAAAACACCCAGAGACTAACAGTATATGGACATACGTTCTCTCCCACAATAAATCAATCAATACATAACTAAACCAGAGGGGAAAACATCAACGAAAGATCTGAATGGTGCGAAATGCAATTTGAAACACGAATTGATGCAAACCACAGCTGTGTCCGGGCTGGGAACCAGAGAGAGGACATTCAGGGGATATATTCTTTGCACTTTTCTCCCATTTAAAAAAAAACAATGCACTTCTCCACTCCCTTCACAACACATGTGGAATAGGGGGCGATCGGAAACAACACAGTGCACTGAATGCCAATCATCCCCGAAACCATCCGGGGGCAGGAATTATATTCAAAGAAATGCGCTTTTAACTAAAATTGATCAACGCCACTTTCATTCCCAGCTTTTAGGAAATAAGTACCAACAACACACAGTGCTTTTCCAGCATTGCAATGATCTCCTGAGATAAGGACAGATATAACTGTAATCAGTGCTGCAGATTATATACACTGACTACAGTCCCACTGGTTATTATTATTACTATTATTATTATTGATCACTGACTACCCATTATCATGATTATTATTATCATAACCGAGTTGCAACAAATTGATTTGAGGGGAGAAAAAAAAACTGACACCACCACACCACACAACAAGAGGTGGTCATTGAAACAGATGTTCTCGTGTTATAATCTGAGGCAAACGCACAATCTTCTTACCTGAGTTTGACAAGACGCAAACATAAATCACTAAACTTTTCAGCAGTTCCATTGCTTGATCAAAGCTGTTTCCAATCACTATTTCACATCACCAGATCCTTCAGTCCTCAGCCCCTATTCCAGATCTTGTGAGTCACTTCGATGTGTGAGTCCACTGTCTCTCTGCAACACAATTCAAACACTGCAAATAATGCGACAATCAAATAGTTCAGAAAGTTTGCTGATTGTTCCTCAGCAGAGAGGAGAGCAGAGCAGAGCAGAGCAGTGCAAAGGCGGATTCAGGATTATTCAATGCCAGGGAGTCGGTGACTGTTCCTTTTTCCTGTTTCCTGTGGGAATGGAAGAGCAACAGCCTGAAGTTACACACCACACACACACACACACAACTGTACACTCTGGAAACCTTGAAACGACGTGATCAGCTGCAGAAAACTGCCAGAAAACCAACAAAACTGTCCTATCAAAAAAATCATGTTTTTTTTTAGCAACTGGTCAGATATGATTAAAGTTGATTCCTGTTATCTTAAGGAGCTTCTTAGAATTTTATCTCTTTCTTTTAAGGGAGGGTCACGTTTTTGCTCAAATAAACCTAGTTACCTACCCAGAGAACAGTAGTTACTTTGTAACACCATAGACAAATGTCAATAAAGTATTATTTTACCCATACATTGGAATACTGAGTATTTATCAGGTACATTTTATCTTAGTTATGGGTCAGCCTGGCTCAGTTGTTATTCTCACCTCTGAGTCAGAAGGTTGTGTGTTAAAGCCTCTACAGGACTTGAAGCTCATACAGTTTAGGCTGTGCTGTGCTCTGCATTGTTGCAAGTGCCATCCTTTAGATGAAACGTTAAAGACCCCATGGCATTATTCCAACCAGAGAAAAGAGTTTCTCTTTCCCAGTGTCCTGGTCAACAATTCCCCAAATAAAATTGGTCATTCAATTTTTGCCTCTATTCACTCATAAAATACACACAGTCACACTACTTTACAGCATATGTTTGAAGCACTCTTGAGAAATCTCAATAAATCTCAATAAGGTGCTGTATCAAATGCAAGGATTATCAAATGCAAGACTACTTTACCTGTACTGTTTACATCTATATATAGTAAATACACAGTCACTACACTTCACAGTGTATTCTGTCAAGCACTTTGAGACATCTCAAAGACGTGATAAAGTGCTATGTCAAATGCAAGGATTATTGTTGTTATGGTGTATGCCCTTACTGGCCCAACATCGACTTGCCTGAGCCTTCTACATTCATGTTAGATGTGTTTTTGAATCCAATGTGGTAGTACAGCCTTAGTGAGAGACCAATTTTTATTTTGGGGATTGTTGGCCGGAACAAGCTCCCTTCTCTTTTAAAATAGTGCTGTGGGATCTTTAACATTCACCTGAACAGGCAGACGGGGTCTTGGTTTAGTGTCTTATCTGAAGAACGTACCTTCAACATTGAATTGAAATGTCAGCATAAACTATATGAATTCCAAGTCCTAACGTGGGGCTTGCACGCATAACCTTCTGACCTAGAGACGAGAGTGCTACCAACTGAGCCAAGCTGACACAGAATGCACACATGCATCTTGTTGCATGGATAATACAAGTCAAAATACATGAGCAATGGTACATGTGTTCACACAAACATAGCACAACTCTACCCAGGAGCACTTAGAGAACCAAGATGTAGTCTCTGCCACTTCAAACTACGCACAGTTATGACTCAGCAAACTGACATGTTTACAACACAGGATGCAAAAACATTACTGAGGAAGTTTCCTTCGTTGCTTCATTGCTGACTACAGCCATCTCCAGGGCAAACATCCGTCACTGAATTGGCCTCATGCTCACCATAACTCTCTCCTTTCTTCTCTTTCCTGATGTTTGAATAGAAGGCTGAATGGGCACAGTTAAGAAATAAGAAAAATACATTGTGGTTTTGGTTGAACTTTTAGTCAAATTCTTCAGAGGTGGATCCAGGTATTTGATTTGTTTTGCTGATAGCAGCTCTGCATTGACTGGAAACATTGAGCGAATTATCAATAATCACATTTAAATCCTTTCCCTGTTCCACCTCCATAAGTGGCACCCCCACACATTGTGTAGATGTTTCCTTTTGAAATCTGTTACCTTCATTGCCCGGCTACAAAGCTTGGTATCAACACCACACCAAGCTGGCCTCTCTCTTCACTTAGCGAACACAAGCCTTCTTCATGTCCCCCACTCTATCAGCCACACCATTTCCAGATTGGCTTTCAACCATTCTCTGGAACTTTATCCTGGAGACCCTCTGATTTGTTCCCTCTCCCCCTTCGTTCAAAGCACAACTCAAAACATTCCTCTGACCAAACCTTCATTCCCCTTCCTACCCACCTTGGCTCCTACCCCCAGATTAGGTACACATTTCGCAGCATCAATCACTTTGAGACTTACTCCTGATTACAAGATGCTATATAAATGCAACTTGTATCGAGAGCAATATTTAATATTTATTTTTGGTGAATATTTGTTAAAACCTTATAATAATAATAATAATAATAAACATAGCACATAAAACAAATAATAATAAACCATTCATTGGATATAGCACCTTTCACATGCTATAAGGGAGGACATCTCAAAGTGCTTCAAGGATTTACAACAACTTGCATTTATATAGTGCCTTTCATGTCGGGTGGCGTCTCAGAGCACTTACTGTGAAGTGTAGTGACTGCGTAATTTGTAGGTGAAAGTGGCAGTCAATTTGTGCACAGCAAGGTCCCACAAACAGCCATGAAGTCAATGACCAATTTTACTTGGGGGACTGTTGATCAGGATGCCTCATCTCCTCAGGCTGTACTGGAGTGTCAAAATTGATCATGAGTTCAAAGTCCCCCTACAGAACTTCAACCCATACTTTCTGACCTAGAGGCGAGAATCAGGCACGTGTCAGCCTGACTCAGTTAGAGCACACTTGCCTTTTACTAGTGAATTCTGGATGTATTAGTCAAAGTCCTTAGACACAGCTTCAATATAAACCTGCTCTCCTTTTCTCATTTTCCTTGGAAATAGATACAGATACATAAAAAGCATAGATGGGGAAAAGATTCCATCTGGGTCCAAATTCACTCTATTGTTATTATTATTATTATTATTATTATTATTTATATACCTTTTTAGAGCATCCAGGACTTGGCAAATTGATGAATTCAGTTTTCTTTGAAGTTGTTTTTCTGAAGTTGATCTTAAAATAACTTACCAAAACATGGTTTCAAATGAAGAATTTAAGCGCTCTAAAATGCTATACAGGTAGAGTAAATATAAGCCCAGGTGGAATTTTCCACAAGACTGTTTGTTCTAAAAAGACCATTACACTACCAGAGCCGTTCATTTTTAAATGGTACTGTGCTCAAACTCCCTCCCCGCGCCCCCAGTCTTCCCTCCTTAATTCCAGCACATTCTATTTCCCTCTTGAAATTGTCAACACTATCTGCTTTCATTGCTTATGTGGTTAAAGTAGATAAATCTAAATTTACAGTTCACCTTTCGACTGTGACCTTATCTTGTGGACCTCTTGACTACATTAAGCATGATAATGTTTACCGAAGCTTTAGTAAGATCACCCCTTAAATTTTCTCCTCTCGAATATAAAAAGTTTTTTGTACAGACTCTCTTTTTGAGCTCAAGTACCTAATCCTTATATCAACTGAATTGTTGTCCTGTCTTCAATGTCAGAGTGCCCTATTATAGTATGAACACTGGAATTATACACAGTAGAGATGGGATTGGGAATTTTTTGTATTAACCCACTATTAGGTGCTGTTATGTATGCTCTAGTTTTGCTTTTTATATACTTTATCAGCAATTTCAATACAATTTCCTTGTTTATGACTGTGAGAATTTACTGTTTGGAATATATTTCCATTGTTTATTTTCTTGTCCAGTTTCATGAATTTACAGTTATCCACATTAAACAACTTCTGACACTTATCAGCCTAACTATTTAATATATCTAGATGTGTCTATTCTGTCCATATGTTCTTTATTATGAGCAACCCACCAAATCTGTTATCATCAGCAAACTTGATCATTTTTGTTTCTGTTCCTACCTCCAAGTCATTTATGTGCACTGTAAACAATGGAGTGCACAGCGGTGAACCCCCAGAGACATCCTGCTAGTCACTGCCTTCCAATATGGAGCTCCATCAACAACTACTCTGCCAATTTTTCATCCACTTTAGAAGTTCTCCCTCCTCCAATTCTACCCTTGCAGAGCAATCACTCACAAATCACTGTGATGAAGACACTGTCTACTCACAGTGAAGAATCAATGACCTCTTTATTTACACCATCAAATACAATACCAAATATTGGTTGCAAAAGGTATGTAATAAAATATTAGATCACTTTCACTCACTTACTAGCTATGAAACAAATTTTCTTATACGTTTGTTTTGCCTCAGCATATTAAATGCAGGGATTACTCGTAGCCAAGCAAATCGGTATCACTACATTTATTGTGATGGGCGAATTGGGAGGACTGTCCCCCTGGTGTTCTGCTTTGTTATGGGGAATTCTACAATTTCCTCAGTGATGTATCAGTCTTTTTATTATCAGTTGTAATGCAACAAGGACCAATTATTTGTTATATTTAAATTGCAGCAAAATATCAGACAGTTCATATGGTCATCAAAACCAGAAAAAGGTTCAGGTGTTTACTGATAACACAGACATAATTTCTCATATGCATACCCAAACTGGGGGCTGCAACAGAAATCTGCCATGTAAGATTCTGATGCCAACTCAGTCCTTTTACCATATGTTTAAAGAATTGGGAATCTAACTGAAGAGCAGTGTTTACATAAGATCTTGGTGAAGAGCTCTCGTAAAAATTGTTGAAGCCTACCTTATGCATCAATTTATAATAATAATAATAATAATAATCCTTGCATTTGATATAGCGCTTTTCACATCTTCTAGATGTCCCAAAGCGCTTCACAGAATATACTGTAAAGTGAATTGACTGTATATTTGTGGGCGAACGCGGCACCCAATTGCGCACAGCAGTGTCCCACAAACAGTCGTGGATTGAAAATGACCAATTTAGCAACCTTATTATATTTAACTCACTGAATGGTCAATTGCATGCTGGCGACAGACTGCTCCTCTCTTCAACATCTTTTTCAATAAACACACCAAGAAACTGGCCATGCACTGAACTTCTGGTTCATGGCATTGGACTGTTAGTAGCCTAATCAGCCTAACCAACCAAAACAATCAAGTAAAACTGATATACCACTAACTAGCAGTCTATTATGCAACATAGGGATAAAGGAGATGGTAAGGGAGGGGATACCACCTTCACACAAGTAGAAGTCAATGATTGTGTTAAATATCATATAGTTGCTGATTTAAATATGTTAACTAAAAACATTGTAATTTGAAGCCAATGAGAAGGATGTTGGAGGCAGAGGGAGCGGTCTGACCCAATGTTCCTCCGATGTTTTTCATCAGACAGATTGGGTATAATTATGGATTCGTCTCAGCAGATTCAAGAGAGAATTGGATAAACAAAGAAATCACTTGAGGGGAATGTGAGAAATAGTAGTGCACAGCCATTTTAGTTTGGAGCCAGCTAGATGGGTGTCTGTTATGGATTTCACATTCTTTCACTGAAATCCAACCTTCACAAACAAAGATATTGGCAGTCATGTACTTAACTGTGAAATGACTTACCCAAATCAACACCAACTTTTCCATCTAATTTGTGAAGCTTTTAGGAATAAAAAAGCTGGAGGGAGCAAATAACTTTCTTTGTGACGACAATAGCTGTTGAGAAGAAAAAAATAAATGAAAGGGTACTCAAAAGTGTGAGGGCAGTTATACAGTAAGGTTAATTGGGAGGGAGGGGTGGAAGGGTGGGGTTGGTTGAGCAGGGTCTCTTTTGGACTGAGTTGGCTCCAAGATGACGGACCTAGCAATACATTAATGGAATTAAATCAATCCTCTATGGCGGTCTCAGTAGTCTGATATGTGATGCAGGCAGGTCTGTAGTACTTACTCCAAGGTTCTGTTGATTATGGACCAGCCTGCCTAGCTCCTTAACAGGTCTCGGAGGAACACATTAATCGCTGACAGCTAGGATTCTTTCCATTCGGCTCCTGTTAATTTTGTAAGCCGAAGCCCTAACAAGTCCAGTTATCCTAGCTGAACAAGAAGATCATCAGTGTGAACAATGATATGCTGCATGGTTTTAGTTGATTAAACTCCAGCATTAACACATTGCACTGGGTTCTCCAACCTTTGACTCCTACCAACCTGCGCCTAAATTCTCTGGAATTCAGTAAGCAGGGTGTGTTCCTCCAGGAGAGAAATAATAATAATAATAATAATCCATGCATTTGATATAGGGCTTTTCACGTCTTCTAGACGTCTCAAAGCACTTCACAGAATATGCTGTAAAGTGAATTGACTATGTTTGTGGAGGAAACGCGGCAGCCAATTTCGCGCAGCAGTGTCCCACAAACAGTCGTGGATTGAAAATGACCAATTTATTATTGTTTTGTTTTTGGAGGGATTATTATTTGGCGTGTGGAGTAAGGAAACTTGCCCAAGGTTTCGCCCTGCCTGGAATTGAACCCAGGTGTCTCGCTTGCAAGGCAAGTGCTCTAACCACTGAGCTACAGGGCTCCACAAAATGCACACTCCAGAAAGGGCACACTCCCCACCAGACAGACAGAAACATATGTGGAACTTTTAGTCATTGATGTAGAGACTCTCAAGCTTGCTGCTGGTTTTCTGTGAAAATCAGAAACCTAATTGACCCCCAAAAAATATAGTGAAGGAAGAAAGCTTACCTAACTTCTAAAGGATGGAACTTATTAAAATGAACCGTTACTGGTGAGGTTTCTACAGTAAATGATAGCCCTACTATATTTAATGTAGAATTGTGGAAGGTAGGGTATAATTAATAAATAAATGCATTATTAAATATTTATTGAAGAGTCAAACATTTTTTAGCATCTATACAATTTATTTGCAAGGCACAAGAAGGTTCTGTAAACAAACTGAGCAAGGTAATTGGACTTATAATGTAGCAAGAAAAAAAAAGGGCCAGATTGCTTTTGCTAGGAATCAATCTTTTGGGGATCTGAATTTTTTAGGCATTTATGTACATTTTTATTCTGTTTAGTTTGACTAAACATTTGTCCTTCTAAGCCTATGAATATAACTTTTAACAAAACGTTGTGATCATAAACATGGATAAATATTTTCAGGTCTATATTTTGTGACTAGTTTGAACATTATTTTTTCATTCTTAACAGTTTACCATGTATCATGACTTTTTATTGTTAAGCATTGTGCCATAGGACAGCTGGAATCAGTACCCAACACTCAGGATTAACTACTGACGAGGTGGGACGTGGGGAAGGAAATCCTGCACTGACATATTGCTAATGTCAAGACGTGCAGGCTAAGCCCCCTACCCGGTACACTAGAAAATAATTTGGGAAAAGGGTGTGAGAGAATCCTTCTACAATGTAATTTAAAATTACTTTTAAAAACAGTGACCAGAATTTTCTAATTATGCTTATTGACCTTCTTAAGCATAGTTCAGAGCACAATCTATCAGGCAAAAAAAAATAATTTACAACATTTGTAGGATCATACAACAAATTCCAATTCAGAATAGACTGTTCAAAGTAATACAATCAAGATGGGATAATTTATGGGTCTACATAAATATCTTACACTTGAAATAAAAAATAAGGTTGAGACTCAAAGTACTTGATTCACTGATAACCTTCATTACATACGATGTGAATTTTAACTGAAGAATTCAAATTGCCCTTCATGTTTCTCAGGTTGCAGGATGGTTGTAAAAAGAATGCAAGAAATGTATGGTTCAATTCATAGATGCTCAAAAATATTGATTGCTGGTAGATTTCTGGGTGTCGACTAAGGAATATAAATAATAAAAATAATAATAATCCTTGCATTTGATATACCGGTTATCACGTCTTCTAGATGTCTCAGATCACTTCACAGAATATACTGTAAAGTAAATTGACTGTATATTTGTGGGTGAAACGCAGCAGCAAATTGCACACAGCAGCTTCCCACAAACAGTCGTGGATTGAAGTCACCAATTTCTTATTTTTTTCTTGAGGGATTATTATCAGGCAGGTGGAAACTTGCCCAAGGTTTTGCCCTGCCGGGAATCGAACCCAGGTTTCTCGCTTGCGAGGCAAGTGCTCTAACCACTGAGCTACAGGAATCCACATATAGGATATGGTGAAAGGGCAGGTAAATGGGACTGAAAAGATTGCTTTGGGACCTCCTCCCGACATGAAAGGCGCTCTATAAATGTAATTTTGTTGGTGTTGCAAAAGAGCAGGCACAGGCATGATGGGCCGAATGGCCTTCTTCTGTGCTGTAAATTCGAATGGTTCTATGGTAACGGTCGTCTCTTACGGTTATGATGGCTCCAACAATTTCTTCCAAAGAATTTCATGAATATGTTTTACTTTCAACTGAAACAGACGCAGTTTAGATTGACTTTTGCTGAAATGGTTTATTGGATAAGACTTGTCATTGTGCTCACATATCTTGTACTCTCTGAATGGTACTTCCCAGATTTACAAGAATGCTTGAAGTAGCTGATGTGGTAAAGACATCCAGTTCTACTGTACTGAAAGCAAAATATTTAACCCGGCTGGCTAATACATATCTGCACTAAATACATGTCACCTGCATAACATCAAATACTTCTTAAAGCAAAAATTGAAAACAACAACTCTGTAATGTGAAAAAAAGTTTATTCCACCATGAAATAAATGTAACAAGAACAATGTGAGTTTATACTGGTATGGAAATTTCTCATTGGTATGTTAAAAGAAATTGAAATGAGTCACTTCAATATCCTTCCAGATTAGTCATGAAAGAGTCCATGTCAGTTCCTGGAGTTCTGAAGGCCTTCTTGCAGTACTTTGTTGTACTCAGCAAGTTGTTTTGTCACATTCTTCACAATTGGCCGGTAGTCACTCTCCATACCCTTTGTGGCTATGACTGATGACCAGAGTTAAGGAAATGACAAAAAGAATCAATGTCTCCTGAGAACGAAACAGATTACGTGTGAAAAAGAAAAGGAATTGTACTATGTACTACATACTGTATCACAAACACTTTATTGACGAAACACCAAGTATTTCCACAATTTCGCTGAGGATCAGACATTGGTCGATATTAGAATAACCAAATCCTTTCTAAAACCTCAGGTCAGTGCTTGTCAAATATTTAGATTGATTGTGTGATATAATTTCAGTCTCCAATAAGCATCTAAAAAAACTAAAACCCAGAGATGTGCTCAATGGACAAATGCACATTATACTTAACTTACTGTTTAAGACACATTTCCTTTGATGGTGTTAGTGGAGATTTGTTAGTTTCTAAGATGTCCATTTGGATTAAAGTTAAATATTTTACCTTTAAAAGTTGCGCAAGATTATTGTACTGTACCTCTGTAAATTTGTTTACCCAAACAGGACCTTAATTTAGAAACTATAAAGTAATCTAATACCAGAATCAAATTCTTAAACTATCTGCATTGTATATAAATATAAACCAATCCAATTTTCATAAACCATTAGGATGCAACTTGTTTAAAAACGAATTAAACATCCATTGACAAAATGCAAAATACTGCAGATGCTAGAAATTAGAAACAAAAACAGAATTCGCTAGGAACACTCAGGAGGTCAGGCAGCATCTATGGAGAAAGGAAAGTTAGTCAGTGTTTTGGTTCCACAACCCTTCAGCAGAACTGGGGCATGTTGGGAGGGAGAGGCTTTTAAGGGCTAACAAAGAGGGGGAAGACAGGGCAAAGAAGACACAGGGTAAATGGGGTAGAGGACAGGGGATGATGGGTTAAAGATGTGTTAATGTGATGCAAAACAAATGGGGGGATTACAACAAAGCAGGGGAATAGAGGTGTTAATAATGCATAAGGGGGAAAAATGCAACAAAATAGGCAGAGGAGAGGGAGGAATTGTGTGTCTGGGACCCAGATGATGTGGTAATGGTTACAGAAGAGGGGGAGAGGGAAGATGAGCTCTTGTGGTCTGAAATTGTTGAAATCAATATTGAGGCCAGTGGGCTGTAAGGTCCCTAGCAGATAAATAATAATAATAATCCTTGCATTTGATATAGCGCTTTTCAAGTCTTCTAGATGTCCCAAAGCGCTTCACAGAATATACTGTAAAGTGAATTGACTGTATATTTGTGGGCGAACGCGGCAGCCAATTGCACACAGCAGTGTCCCACAGTCATGGATTGAAAATGACCAATTTATTATTGTTTTTTGTTTTGGAGGGATTATTATTAGGCTCTGTGTGGAGTAAGGAATCCTTGCATTTGAATCTGACCATCGTGGAGTCCTGTTGCTCAGTGTTTAGAGCACTCGCTTTGCAAGCGAGAGATCTGATTTCAATTCCAGGCAGAGGGCGAAACCTTGGGCAAGTTTCCTTACTCCACACAGAGCCTAATAATAATCCCTCCAAAAAAACAATAATAAATTGGTCATTTTCAATCCACGACTGTTTGTGGGACATTGCTGTGCGCAATTGGCTGCCGCGTTCGCCCACAAATATACAGTCAATTCACTTTACAGTGTGTTCTGTGAAGCGCTTTGGGACGTCCTCCCAACGTGAAAAGCGCTATATCAAATGCAAGGATTATTATTATTATTAAGGAAACTTGCCCAAGGTTTCGCCCTGCCTGGAATTGAACTCAGGTCTCTCGCTTGCAAAGTGCTCTAACCACTGAGCTACAGGACTCCACGAGGTGCTGTTCCTCGAGCTTGCGCTGTGGCTCACTGGAACGGCGTAGGAGACTGTGGATGGAGAGGTCAGAGTGCGAGGGAGAGGGTGTGTTGAAATGGCAAGAAACCGGAAGATCAGGATTGTACTTTGTTTTGCACCATTAACACCTCTTTAACCAATCATCCCATCCCCTACCCCATTTTCTCCTTTGTCTTCCTTGCTCTGACTCCCCCCTCTCCGTTAGCCCTTAAAAACTCTCCCTCCCAACATGTCCCAGTTCTGACGAAGGCTCGTGGACCCGAAACTTTGACTCACTTTCCTTTCTCCATAGATGCTGCCTGATCTGCTGAATGTTTCCAGCGACTTCTGTTTTTGTTAAACATCAATTGATTTGTTCTTTTAATTAAAGTCCTAACACGTTTATATATGCCAGAGCAAACAGAAAGGATTGTACAAGTATAAAGGATTTGGAACAGCCAACAAAGTCATCCGCAACATTTCTGAGTGACTGAGAGGGAAAAACATCACAAGTTTAGAAAAATAAAAATAGACACATCACTTCAATCAAATAATATAGAACATACAAAATTGATTAGACAATGGTAGTACAAAATAAACAATTAGAAAGTTGCCTGGAATTTTTCAAATGGCATGAAAGTGATGATTTCAGATCTTTTGGTATAAAGACATAGAAGTCATCTTGTTTTCGTTGAAGGGGCTAAATCGTGTGTGGAGAACATATTAACAATATGTAGAACAAAGAATGTTTAGCTCTTGCTGGGAAGGAAATGACAGGATCATTCTGTGAAGCGCTTTGAGACGTCGAGAAGACATGAAAAGCGCTATATCAAATGCAAGGATTATATATTATATATTTATTATATATCAGGTTTAGGGACTTCACAATTTTAGGAGCTGTACAACGTATTGAAGTGAAAGGAAAATCAAATGGATAAGAGATAAGCATGCAGCCTTCATGTTTAGCATCTGTCCTGTACCTTACAACTCAACCTCCCAAATCTGCATCTTAAATTATCTTAAAGCATAGTTTGGCATTACTTTAAAAAAGTGTGGCTCATTCTAAACTTCCATTAACAATAATATTTGCGAATGCTTTCAGTATATGATTCCCAATGTGTGGCTTGAACCCACAACCTTCTATCTCAGAGGCAAAAGTGCTATGACTGAGCCAGGCTGACACAAGGTGGGGGTGGGGGTTTGGGGAAGAAGTGCTCCTCAAGGATGAATCTTTTGAGAATATATAGACATTCTTCAGAAAGGGTAAATTAGTACTCTCTTGGCTTCCTAATCTATTATAAAGCTGCTTCTGTGTAGATTTGTACTTGGCTGAATGGTTGCTCTTTTGTTTCACAGAACTTCAGAAGCTCTTAAGAAGCCTTGTAATAAAATCATACAAGTTATGTAACAACAACTCGCATTTATACAATACCACTCATGCAGGGTAGCGTCTCAGAGCGCTTAATGAAAGATACAAATGCAAATCTTCGGTTTCATTTGTAATGCAGTGCAATCTCAAACAATCTGCCACAATATTTGTGGGAACTCAAAAAGATTTTTTCACAGCTTTAAACTAATTCCCAAAGTATCCGTTTCTCTGACCGAGGAGTGGTTTATGCTGCCAACATAATGTGCTTGACTTCAATAAGCACATCAAACACTCGATAATGAATTTCAAGGAACAGAACTTTATCAAAGATTATTAGGTAATGGATGATTTAAAAAACTAATGCAATATCAAAGCTAGGGGAAACAGTAAAATAAAATAGCAGATCATTGCTAGTGAAATGTAATTTGGACATTATTTTAAAATACAAAATCCTGAAAGCGATATAAAATAATATGTAGGAGGTCAAGTAAAATGATTATATCCTGCGAGTTAAATGAGTTATCAAGTAAAATAAATACTTATCAAAAGATTGAAGACATTCAGTCTGTACTTTGTATTCTATAATGTAATTTTTTGGTTATTTTAGTTGAAGTTAAGCACCAGTTTTGTGGCCAAAGTTGTAGTTTTAGTTATTAGGATCCTATTGTATTATAGGGATTTAAAAATGTAGCAGAAATCCCATGACTATAGCTAAACATTTCTATTTCTAAATCTAAGAATTAGTGAATTGTGGTGATATTCCAGGAGGCAGTCAGCTTGCTCCCCAATCTTGCTGAATGATACCATTGTGATACACTTAGCAAGTCTTGTAAATGGATGACATGCTCATTCAGAACCCATGGAAAGGGCAGACTGCTCCAGGATGTTCTGTCACTTAGACTTAGCAGACAACCACTGCAACTTGTATCTTTCATGTAAAAGAAACATCTTGAACTGCTTTACAATATAATACAAAAAATAAGTGAAGGTTTGTAGGATGTTGGATGGGGTATTTGCACCAGCATCATCCTTTGAGCAACAATGTGACAGTAGCTAATGCATCTGAATAAAGGGTGAATGTAGAAGAGGAAATATAAGATAGAATAACTGGGATAAAATGCTATTCTTTGAAATTGCAGCAAGACCATTAGAATTCAAATGAATCTCTTGTAACCCAAATAAATGACAATCATAAAAAGAGAGGATGATTCTAAATAAAATTCTATTTAATATATAATGTTACGTCAGGAAACTTGGCAGCAATTTCTCACCACCAACAATTGCATGAGTCAAATTAATTCGAAATTTGGTTGAGAGAATTCGGATTGGGAAGTTGTATATTTTTAAAATTCAAACAAAATTCAAATCTTATAGTATACACTATTTCCTTTTCCATTACTTCACAGAATCATAGAAATATACAACACAGAAGACCATTCGGCCCATCGTGTCTGTGCGGGCTCTTTGAAAAGAGCTATCCAAATCAATCCCACTGCCTCGCTCTTTCCCCATAGCCCTGAAAACTTGTCCTCCCCAAATAATTATCTACTTCTCTCTTAAAAGCTGTTATCGAATCGGCTTCCACCAGCCTTTCAGGCAATGCATTCCAGATCCAAACAACTCGCTGTGTAAAAACTTTTTTCCTCACCTCCCCTCTGTTTCTTTTAACAACTATTTTAAATCGGTGCTCTCAGGTTACCGACCCACCCGCCAGTGGAAGTAGTTTCTCCTTGTTCACCCTATCGAATCCCCTCATAATTTTGAGAACTTGTATTAAGTCTCATCTTAACCTTCTCTACTCCAAGTAGAATAATCCTAGTGTCTCTAGCCTCTTCTGATAGCTGAAGTCCCTCATTCCTGGTACCATCCTGGTAAATCTCCTTTGCACCCTCTCCAATGCCTTAACATCCTTCATAAAGTGTGCAGCCCCAAACTGAACACAGTACTTTAGCTGACGCCTCACCTGTGTTTTATAAAACTTCATCATAACTTCCTGACTTTTGTATTCGAAGCCGCTATTTATAAAGCCTAGTATCCTGTATGCTTTTTTTAACAGCTCTATCTACATGTCCTGCCACCTTCAAAGATTTATGTATATGAACCCCCGAGTCTTTCTGTTCCTTCACCCTTTTAAATTTCTACCTTCAGCTTATATTGTCTCTCCTCATTCTTTCTCCCAAAATGCATCACGTCACATTTCTCCACATTAAACTTCATCTGCCACGAGTCTGCCCATTTTACCAGTCTATCTATGTCCATTTGCAGTCTGCTACTATCCTCCTCACTGTTTACTATTTTTCCTAGCTTAGTATCATCTGAAAACTTGAAAATTGTACTCCCTGTACCCAAGTTCAGGTCATTTATATAGATCAAAAACAGCAGCGGTCCCAATACTGATCCCTGGGGGACACCACTGTACACTTCAGTCAGAAAAAAAACTCTCTGCTTTCTATCTCCCAGCCAGTTCTGTATCCATGCTGCCACTGTCCCTTTAATACGTGGGCTTCTATTTTGCTTACAAGTCTCTTATGTGGCACTTTATCAAACACCTTTTGAAAATCTATACAAATTACATCAACTGCACTACCTTCATCCACCCTCTCCGTTACTTCCTGAGACCTACAGGCCTTGAATAATCTGATAGTAAATGTCATTGTACCTCTTCCATCTACTTCTCCAAATTGCCAGTACCAGTACTGGTGAATATACAATGGAAACCGTCTTAAGACGGACACATTGGGGCCGGTCGTTTTGTCAGATTTACCCAACGTCCAGGGTTAACTACTGTCTGGCTAAAGGGACTTCCACTGTACATTCTTAAATGTAGGTACTAAATCTTCTAATCAATAATTTGTTAAACAGGAAAAATGCAACTCATGTAACAGTGTGTAAGGATACATTCTTTCATAACAAAGTTGTTCTGTTCATGGTGCTGCCACTTACGCTCCAAGTTTGTCAGCTGAAACAGATATAAGTACAATATTGAGAACTGTCATACTATGTACCAACATTCACAAACAATTTCCAGTTTCCACTCTTTGTTGATAGACCAGCACAGAAAACACATTTCAGAACACAGTAATGTTACGTGTAAGAGAACAAGAGAGAAAATGAGATCCGCCTCTTTGTCAGCTTCAATTCTTTCAGTTACATAAGGTTTAGTGAGGATATTAGAATTGCTAATGATGCATAGGAACTCCACTGGGGAAGTAGGTCATATCAAAGCAAACTTTCCTCGGGTTAGTAATTGCAGTTAACGGAAGGGGCCCCTAGTTATGTGATTTAAAATTATTTTTAAGAAATCACATTTAAGAAATACTGCAAATTAAGTCTTAATCATACATTAAATCAATCAATCTCTGTAGTAGTTTAATTAGAGAGAAAACATTCTAATGTACAAGTCACACAATAACTTGTTCACTCAGCTAAATGAGATCCACATTGTACATAGTGGCCAGGCTGGGTGTCGTTGTGAAAGTAATAATAATAATAATCCTTGCATTGTTTATATATCAGATCCAATTGTTTTGTAACTGTATAGAAATCAGACTGTGAACAAACATCACAAGAACAGATCTTTACAGGCGATAACAAGTGATTTTATTAATGGACTGCACAAGTGAACATGGATTTGGCAGCCTAGGTTACATGAATAATCTGAGATGGGAGTCGTTTTTTTTTCTTCAAATGGCTTACTTATTGACAATGACACACATGTGCGCAAACACACGGACACAAAATTTCCTCACTTCCACAGCCTGGCTTCCTGTTAGTTGCAATTATCTGCTAACTATAAGCTGCAGTGTGAAGATTATGAAACAACTGAACTAACAATGGCTACCCTACATAATTCAGGACACCAGCAGGAAATTTAAGTGTTTATCATGTTGATGTTTATTTCCTAGAAGATAGTGCCGCAATTTCATAAACATGGGAGAATTTTGTAACAAATGATCCAGTGCATTCCTGCCAAATGGAGAAAGTTAAAACTGGCAACTGTGGCTAACAACACTGAACAGCTTACATAAAAGGCAGAATTATTTTCAATTGAATTCTGTTTACAACACCACCACAAGTGACAAGTGAACAATTTTCTATTTAGTTTAAAATCTATTGGAGCTTATTGGAGAAAATATGATGTTTTGGGGAAATGGTTTCTATATTAGTTATGAATGTTATTGGGTCACAATGCTCACTTGTTTATGGGAACCTCTATATCATCTAAGGACTAAGTACCCTTTAGATGTTGTTTCCAGCAGTTTCTAAACAACAAACTGAATGAGAATTTGAGAAAAAGGAAGTTTATGCATTTAGCATTATTGACACTAACAGTTACAAATTGGCAAGACACACATACACCTCTTTTTCACCAAAGAGTATGTATACTTTGTTAATTTAAATGGCAGAATTTAATAACAGATAATTTTTTTAAAAAAGTTACCGGGAATGCAAGTTCACTGACAAACATTTGGAACTAAAAAAAAATTTCCCAAAGGAACTTGACAAGCTCCTGAAAATTAAAAGGATTTAAGGTTATTCGATATTGTGGGAATCATTAGGGAAGTTGGATGTGAAAGCTAGATGGATTAAATGTTTACTCCTGTCTGAAAGTCTATGTTACTACAATAGAACCCAATTAAAAATACTTCATTATAATCTGGTTTGCTTATGTGAACCTTGACATATTCCCAAAAATTCAAAATGCAAGAGTCAGGTCCATTACAACACGACTCCTAAGTATATTTCTTTGTGTATAGATGAATTGTAAGCACCTTCTCTAACCGAGATTGTTCCCTGCAAACCAAGGTGTGTACAATTCTGGCATAGTTAAGAGTGCTCCTCTTACCTGTGCATGAGTCTCATTTTCTTGCAGTTGTACCTTCAAAGCCTCATACTGTTTTGATAGCTGCTGCATAACTTTCCTGAAGGTGTCTCTACGTTTCGTCAGTGTGACCCTCTCTTCCTGCAGTTTCTAAACAACAAATGGAATGAGAATTTGAGAAAAAGAAAGTTTATGCATTCGGCATTACTGGCACATCAAGGCATGGACACTGATAGATAAAAAATTGCAAGGTATACACCAAAGGGTATATGGGCTATGCTATTTATATACTTCATTACCTTACAGTTACCTTATTTTTATAAAAGGAGGATTGAGAGAGAAGTCCAATAATGTGTTGGTGGACCAATATGGCAGAACATAGGCTCTCCCATAGGTCTCACCTTGACTGCACCTATCTCATAACGTAGAACAACAATTTACATTTATATAGTTGCTTTCACATTGGGAGGTGAAAGTGCTTCACACAGCTGACTGGGAGTCTGAGCTGGGGAAAGAAAGGAACTGTTGAGAAGGGAGGTGAAAGTGACTGAAAGCATGGTTGATAAGATAAATTTTAAGGCAGGTTGTGAAGTCAGGAAGCTAAGGCAAAGAGACTCCAGGACGGAGTTCCAGACAAAATTGAGAGCTTGAGAGTGTGTATGAGACCTTCCATGCTGAATATGCTTGAGGGAAATTTTCTCCTCTTGCTCACTCACCCACCCCTTCCGCATTCTGGACTGTGGGGTATGGTGGCAAGCTACAGCATTGTGGCGTGGCGGTCTATTTCAGATTTCTGATCTGTTCAAATTGTACAGTGGCTGCTCCCAGAGATGTTCATTCAAAAAATATGCGAGGTAGAAAACAACTTATCTTATTAACGGTGAAAATAAATCTTTATTTTCTTGCTTTTCGCCAATTAATTCTACCGCTTTTACCTTTTTTCTGTCTTCCCCGGTTGCCTTCAGTCCATCCAAGTTGCTATAGGTTTCTAGTGCATCAGTCATTTGGTCGATCTTTTCTTTTAAGGAATTCAGTTCAGTATTGATTTTGTTTTCCAGTTGCTCTACCTTTTGAAGGTCCTGCTGGAGTCGGTGACTTTCTGTGTGTGCGTGGTGGGGGGAAGGAGGTTGGGAGAGAAACAAAGTGATAATAATAATAATAATCCTTGCATTTGATATAGCGCTTTTCACGTCGGGAGGACGTCCCAAAGCGCTTCAAAGAACACACTGTAAAGTGAATTGACTGTATATTTGTGGGCGAACGCGGCAGCCAATTGCGCAGAGCAATGTCCCACAAACAGTCGTAGATTGAAAATGACCAATTTATTATTGTTTTTGGTTTTGGAGGGATTATTATTAGGTGTGTGGAGTAAGGAAACTTGCCCAAGGTTTCGCCCTGCCTGGAATTGAACTCAGGTCTCTCGCTTGCAAAGCGAGTGCTCTAACCACTGAGCTACAGGACTCCACTTTATATCTGTGTCCCAATTCCTAATAAAATTATTTTAAAAGAAAATAAACTGGGCCATTAAACTAACAGGAGAAAGAATCCTACTTTCCTCTTCCCAGTGAGTGCCTGTCAGTGCAAATGGATGGGCCAGGATTGGAGATATATTTCTTGTTGGAAAGGAAATGCTTCCTTGCGCAAAATCTCGCAAGAGCTTCCACTGCAAGTTTACTTTAAACTTGAGATTATTAGCCACATACGCCTCCCTACACCAACCCCCACCACCCCCGTACACACACACACAGAACACCAACTATATATAATAATCCTTGCATTTGATATAGTGCTTTTCACGTCTTTTCGACATCTCAAAGTGCTTCATAGAATAGACAGAAAAGTGAATTGACCGTATATTTGTGGGCAACCAATTAATGCAAGAGTTGTGCAGACTATATATATTTTTCACATAAGCAAAATGAAGAATCACTGATAGGTTCAAGTGCTTGACCCCTTATCACAATACTTATGAGCCACCATTGGAACAGACTGAATATTGGGAGAAATCAGCCACTGGTTATGGTATCTGTCATCAGAAAGTACAGATAGTACAAATGTTGACTATAAATGACCAAAGTAGATAACAAATCAGCGAGAGAGTGCTTCAAAAAGAATGATCGCACATCAATGATTTAAGACCTTTTTTGAGGTGGGGAGGGAGAAAAGTAATGAAAAGTATCTCAAATGAAAAATCGTGAAATATTAACTAAAAATAAATATCTTAAAGCACTGCAAAACGATTTCCTATGGAAGAAACAAATTAACCAAATGTTGATGGTTTGCTGGAGATTAGAATCAGAACTAATTACAGTATGTTGATTTCTAAGAGAAAAAGGACATAACTATCCCATCAGAATCAGGCGAATTATAGGTGTCAGTAAGTGGAGACTAGTTAGTTTGAGTAATACATAAACTCCTGATAACAAGACCCTGGCTTAACTAGTCACTACCACTTAAGTAGCCATGCTGTCAACATCCTGTTCGCTTCCCATGCAAAATGTTAATAAAGGACTCTGGTTTACTTGTCACTCCACTTAACACGTACCTAGTTACGTTCTATGAATTCTTGTAGATACTACTTTGGATAACTTGTCCTATAAAATGGTGCCTTGCATTGCAGAGGTTTCCCGCACTATCTTGTAACTGATGTGGGGCGCACACCAGAAGTTGGGCGCCCATGCTCACATGCATCACAGATGTATCTGGTCTATTGGAGGGTCCCCCACCCCTTATCCCACCCTGAGTCTGGATAGGGCTGGAGCCCACAGCACAGCCCTCCAATAGACCGCTGCGATGCATCTGAGCATGCGGGTCTACCCTCTGTTAAGTGCCCGCACCAGTCACCGGATCACCTTGTTTCCTGGCAAGACCTATACCTAACTAGTCACTTCGGATAACTAGCCGCTAAGCTCTTTCCCCTTGGAGTGACAAGGTATCAGGAGTTTACTGTACTTAATGCTTAAAACAACACCAGAGTTTGATTTTTTTTACACTTGCTTTGGTGATTGATATGTTCTGTTCAAATAACTAGTTTTGGCTCTTACTTTTCAAAACAAGTAAGATCTTAAATTGGCAGCAGTGGCTCAACATTTCAGCCTTACTGTTCCAAAATGCTTCACCATATAGTGAAAAGAAGGTTCACACTCAAGATCCATTACACAATGAGCACAGTGAGGTCTTGACAACAGCTGCATTGTGTGGAGAGGCACTGAGTACAGACTCGGCACTTTTCCACAGGGAGGGAGACTACAACACAAAAAGGAGGAAGGGGTGGTGAATTTTTATGTAAGGGCCAAAGAGAAGGAAGGAAACTGAAAATGGACACATTTTATACAGAAAACGCAGTTTTTTTTATTAGCGGAGCACTATGAATAATTGTTGCCAGACTTTATAAAACCATATTTATTTATTTCTGATAAATGCAAGGTTATAAAACATTTGTTTTAAAATAATTATCTACTAAAACGTATATGTATGTGTGAGATGTGTGTGCCTGTTTTGGGTGGTGCATATTGCAAAATCAGTGGTTCAATCATAAATAAAAAAAAATTAATAAATCATTAAAAAANGGATAACTGAAATACTATCAAAATCTTATTGAGTAGGATTTAAAACAACTATATGGTGTCCTGTAGCATAGTGATTAGAACACTCGCCTCTCAAGCGACAGGAGCTGGGTTTGATTCCTAGGTAGGGGAAGTTTCCTTGGTCCACACGCCTCGGTTTATTCAGCAGTAAGTTGGAACCCGGTTGTTAGTCAATTGGCGGATCGCTTTTCCGGGGATAATAATCCATTAAAAAAAATCATAATTTAGTCACTCAATCCACGACTGTTTATGGGACACTGCTGTATGCAATTGCCTGCTATGTTTCGCCCACAAAATATACCATCAATTCACTTTAGAGTATACTCTGTGAAGCGCTTTGAGATGTCTCAAAGATGTGATAAGGCGCTATATCAAATGCAAGGATTATTATTATTAACTAGAATGACATCTGTTAAGGTCCTCAGCTGCACAAGGATTTCTATTTGAATATAATTATAGAGCCATGTAATGCTGCATTATTGTTTTCAATCTCATATTCTTCTAGCTCCTTCTTTTAATTAGCATCACTCCTACGCCAAGGTCTCAAGAGATATCAAATAATCTAAAATTTTGCAAACAGAGTTAAAGCAAGTTGGAACAGAAAGTTTGTACTGAACAACCTTTACTTTTCCTCTCTAATCAGATTGAAACACTCAAATTTTTGATGTTCTCAGATAGAGACCAGAATGAAGGTAGATAGAGACCAGTAGAAGGTTGCCACTTGGCTACCAACTAAAGAAAAAGGAACTAAAAAGAAAGTAAATAAAGGATCTGTATCATTCCATTTCATGTTCAATAACAAACTTTCTCAAATGCTCTTTATTCTCTAAGCTCTGGTAAAGCAAGAGGCAGGAAGAGGATACAGTCCAGTTCCTTCTGATATGATGTTAGAGGTCAGAACACTTCAGATTGTGTACTCCTTGGAATGTATTATCTTGAAAGAACCTCTGAATTATCTTGTGGAAAAGTGCCAGAATATAAACTTTGTTTACCCATTTCAACTTCCTTCTTTTCAGTACAAAAATATCACTTTTTTTAAATCGATGTAAGACTTTAAGCAGAAGGAAATATCCAATGACAATTCAAGAACATTCCTAAAGCGATAGGCTTAAATATTTAGAAAACATTTCTTCAAAATTCTTGATTTTATCTTTTTCAATAGTAATGGATTTGAAATCAAAACATGCTGATGTATTACTCATTAGAATAGTGTAAAATTCAACATATCCTTGAGAGAAGGACATATTTGTCATTATGCATTTAGAATATTATGATACTGTATGTATAAAAATTAGGTACTGGGCTACTGTAATGTTAACAGATTACTAGGGTTGGGCTCAAGGAGGAAATCCTGAACAACAATGCAAGTGTCAGTGGAGTCACCAAGTGTTCATTGGAACTACACCCATTGCGAAGGAGAAGTTGAATTCACAGATATCAGAATGTTATAACTGTTTGTTCAGTTTTTTCAACAGTCTTGTAACCATCGTTTGTCCAAGTAACGTCAGATTAGTATTGATTGACTGAATGCAAAGGGCTGAAGTTCTGCAAAATCTATTGCCAAGGCAACAATTAAAAGGTAGTATGTTCGATACACTTTAAACCCTAATTTTATTAAGATAAAATCACAGGTAAATCTAATAAGACACAGAAATAGAGCAAGTATTTGATTACGTCTTACCATCAGTCAAACTCTTGGCAGTGTTCTGAGATTTCTGCATTTCAGTCTCCTTGAAATTTAGGTCCTCTTGCATTGACTTTAGCTCATTTGCAGTTATTGAGGAGATCTGTTTCATTCGGTTCATATTCTGAATTACAGAACCATGGGAACACATTACATGTAGCTAAAACATACTAACCTTTTGTTCAAACGACAAGTCATTAGTGCGTGATACAATTAGTTTCTTCACACAAAATCACAAAAGCTGTTCTTGTGAGGACAAGAAAGGAGAGCTATAACAAAAGATAATATTTATACAGATAGGAAAGTTAAGTTGATATTGCAGACAGGGATTTAGAAACCCAAATTGTTACACAACCCACCTGACCCTTCAGTGACCCATTTTGTTCTTTTAGGCAATTTACAGTGGTACTGGAAATCCCAGTTGCTTTAGTAATCATTTCAAGTTTGTTATTTCAGAGAGTTTAAAAAAAATAATTTATGCTTAAGAATTGAATAGCAGCCGTTTTATAACTTTTACTGTTCTCATAAAAATGTTTACTGGTCAGTCTGGTAATGAAAGGCAGAGTATCAAATTCCCAACTGTAGTATTCCATCCAAAAAAATCTGGTACTATTCCAATAGTTGTGCAGTCAGTGTGGCACTGGATTTTTGCGGGGTGAGGGGGGGAGAGAGGGAGAAGTATCTTGCACGAATTACCATCTATAGAAAATACAAAATACCTAAAATACATTTGCCTACAAAATACACAGTCAATACACCTTACAGTATATGGTGTAAAACTCTTAGAGACGCCCTGATGTAAAAAGTACTAGATCTAGCTCTCTGATCTGACAACCTACTTGACTACCTGCCCCTTCTCTCAACTGACACTGGACTTCTACATGTCCCTCTTCCCCTCCTCTCTTCTATCGAAGGCCGAGCTTTCACCCACTACACCATCAAACTCTAGCATTCTCTGCCTCAATCCCTGTTTTACCCCTTCTTTACCCATCTTCAGATTGCATCTGAAGACCGTCCCCTTTGACTAAGTCCACGGTCACCCCCCTTCTCCTTGCTTGATGTTGAGCTCCATCACTGAAAAGCACTCTGGGTCGCTACCCATGTGAAGGGTGCTATATAAATTCAAATTATTGCTGTTAAATTTAAGCATTTTATTATAAAGATTATTATAAAGAAAATTCACATCTGAGCATGGATATGCACCAAGATATAACTTGAGAATGGTTTCATGAAGTATATAATAAACAATTGGGCAGTTTCATATAAAATAATAAATATTATATGAAAATGCCCAATTAGTTTATACTAGATATAGAACGTGCAGTAGTGTACTGAATATTTTCCATTCAAGTTTTCAATTTAGACTTACTCTACTCATGTGCTCCAGGAGTGCTACAATGCTAGCCTCAAGCTGCACCTTCCGTTCAAACTCTTGGGTTTTGGTTTCTTCATAAGTATCCAGGAATGCTACAAATTAATAAATAAGAATTAAGGCAGTATTCTGAATCTCTTCCAGGCCATGCAGTATCCTTTGTCAGGAGAGCCTGGACATCTGTTTCCAGGTGTCCATCCCTGCTGTATTATACCATCTGGTGGTGTCAAGCTTATGGACCAGGCAGGTTCGAATCCCGGTCTGTGCCGAATTTGCTAGTCTCATATGGAGCTGCGTAGGAAGGCTAAATTGGCCCTGACCAATCAGGGTGCTGTCCCTCTACCGCACCCTCTATTGGTTGTACATGTATGTGGCTGGGTGGGGAGAGATCAGGCTCTGCTGTCGAATGGCCTATTGACACTCATTGTCAAGGCTCATAGATAAACAATGGCCACTTGGGTAGGGTATCGGAAAGCAACCAGCACCTATGGAACTGTATTATGAACCTACAAGAAAGAGCACAAATTCTGGAAGTCTGAAATAAAAACAAAAAAACTGAAAATACAAAGTAAATCAAATGAAATTCTATACAGATAAATGCAAGTTATTGCATGTATGATGTCAAAATAGGCAGCATACCTACTTCAAGGATAGGATAGAAGTTGCCAAGGAGGAAGCTGAAGGAGATCCAGAGGTGTTGACTCACTGCTCACCGTGCTAAATCAGTGTGATGTACAATAAACAAGGCAAACAGGATGCCAGTCTATATTATAATAATCAAATATATCAAATCCTTATCAAATGTAAGGATTACTATTATTATTGTTAAATCAGTTGAGTTCAGATGCTCAGAAGTCAAACTCCAGCTATATAGTGCTCTGGTCAGGCTGCACCGGGAGGACTGCATACAGTTCTGGTTATTGAGCCATAAGGGAGTTGCGCAGAGCTTAGATGCAGTGCAGAAGAGGGATGATCCCCAGTAATGCAGGAATGAGTTATGAGCAATATTAGACAGATAGGGCTCTTCAGCCTTGAAAATAGATATCTCAGAGGGGACCTTATATAGAAGCATATAAGATTTGAAGAGGAATTGAAAAAGTTAACTTGAAACAATATTTTTGGATATGTCAGGCCAGCAGTACAAGAGTGTACAGATTTAGGGCACATTTTCTGGACAAATATCAGGAAGTATTTCTTCACACAGAGGGTAATTAATGACTGGAATGGGTTACCAGGAAGGGTGGTTGAGGCTAGGATGCTGTCTCATAAGATACAGCTTGGCTTCATAATGGGAGGATGGTAGCTTGGGGACTCTGGAAGTATGAGATCAAATGGACTGAAGGGCCTTCATTATATAAACCTCTCCAGTAATAATTATGGTCACACTTCTGATTGATTTGTTCTGTCAGAGATTGTTTCTATTTCATATTTCCAGCATTTGTCTGATCTTTAAATACAGGTGTTTAATAGCTAAACTTCCTGTGTAAGGTGACGTCAGTGCCTTGGGACGTCCTCCTGTCGTGCAAGGGGCTATACAAATGTAATTTTGTAATGTATGATCACTATTCGCAGATGCACAAATGGAACAAGTTAAAGTTAAGAGTCCACATTTTCAAAAGGAAATCATTGTCTGACAGCACTGCAGCATAAGTACCTCTCCCTGGTTTCTAGTACAGTCTAGGGAATAGAAACAAAACAAGATATTCGCAGCAAATGTTTCAAATCTTTTGTGACTACACTTACTTAAAATACCTTCATATTTAAGAGGAGGGTGGGGTCTGTGAAAGGAAATATTAGGCTGTGTTGCCTCTACTATTTTATGCATATCCAAACAGATCAACAATGCCTGTGTGTTTTTCCAAAAAGAACAGGAATTATGGAATTTCATGAACAGGCTAAAAGCTTCTTAATTTTTAAATGGCCATCCCTTCAATTGAGTGTGGACCATATTAATTAATATGCAAACCTAAACCAAGTACACAATAATTATATTCTGTCGGTGGAACTTATATTAGAAAACATTGCTGGTAATTTAATTGCAGAAAATGAGAAAATTCTTATTAGTTTGAATGCCTAGGCTTCCTGATCATTTGTTGCCTGAGGAATAGTTTTCAATCACATGGAAGAGAAACATGGTCTCTTGGTCAAGAACAAGGATCTTTGCAGTTCGGCTATAGTAATAAAGGATTTCATTGATATGGATTTGAAAGGGCTAAAATACTTCGTTTTATTCCATTTCTGCTCAAGTGTTCAATTTCAATTAATCATTTCTGTCTGCATGCATAAGCCAACATGGCTTGGATTTCAAAAAAGTAAATAAGACAATTTAATTTTTACACAGGATATAATTAATTACAAAATGTTAAAAAGGTTTCCTAGGCTTAAGGTTTTAAAATACCAACTATGTTAACATCTGAGGTCATTTTATACATCTACTGCTAATCCACCTTGACAGCGCTACTGCAAAATCTGTTTACTCATTGCACCTTCTTGGAGATTTATGTCCCTGAGATATTGGGAGTGTAAATCAGCTGGATTTTTACAATATCAGTTTTCAGGCTGAGGTACAACTACACATCCAGAAACTCACCATCCATGGTTTCTTCCCTCTTTTTCAGTTCTTTGTACTTCTGATTTCGTTCTCCTAAAATAAAAAGCATTTTCTTTATAGCTCAATGACAGACAAAAACTACAAACCCTTTAATGTGATTCTTCTATTGATCTATTTTTTCAGCAATCAGTTCCAGTGTAACACAAATAAAAAGGTAATAAAAGAATTCAGTCAAATCAAATGACAATTATTTTAACACATCGGAGGGAAATTTGCAGTCAATATGGCATTTCTCACACTGAATGGACCAAAAGCAGAACTCTGATGCCCTTCTAAATGTGAAATCAAAGAAGCCAATTACATACCATTGGACCTGTGGCCCACAAATCAGTCGCTGACTGCTGGATAGTGGAACACCAGCATTTTGAATAACATTTATCACGCTGACTACGAATTTCACCATAATATCTTACACTTCCCCAAGTAAATTTCAATAACACCTTCTGCATTATTATTGGTGCCACGTGATTTAGCTCCAAGTGCTTCATGTCAGAAAGAAAAAAAGAAAGAAAATAAACTAAATAGATGGAGGGTGAACTACATTTAGAGGATGAGAAAGATCATACTGATCATATTTAACTTAAACATTCTCAATTCATATGTACAAAGTAATTTACTAAAGTCATGTTTTACTGGAAAGAAATGTTATAACTTTGTTTTAAGGGTATTGTGAAGCTGGGATGAAGAAAATGTCTTAAAAAATTTTTTCGGGTGGGGGTGAGGCGTGCTTGAATATCTTGGTTTGTATGCAGAGTGTGAACAAATGAGTCAGGATTTTTAAAAATATTGTTGTAAAAATCAATCTGCTATGGAAAAACCTTACTAAAACATGATTATATTATACTGCATACACAAACAGAATCTCAATGGCAACCAGGACAATTTACAATTTACCCACCTCAAGCCCGTGCCTTCGATCTCACTGCTTCCCCGCTGCCCTCCCCACTCCTCCACCCCGACCCTCAGCTCGGGTCCGTAACTGTCTGTCCAACGCCTTGGGATGTCCTCCCGACATGAAAGGCACTATACAAATGTAATTTTGTTGTTGTTGTTATCCAATCACCTTTACCAAGTAAAGCACCGAAAATGGAGAATTATTGTTTCTCAGCAGCCATTCCCTTTTGCTGGCATGATAGCACTATTCTCCAGACCAGAATTCATTCAGATTATTGTCTTTTACAATTCTTACTAAGCAACTAGTTACGGCACATGGCTGTTCTTTTGAAAAATATGGATTGCAAACATAGTAAGTGGAGTATTAGGCTAGACCGGGAGGTCAGTTCTTACCTTCTGTGATTTTCCCAACGAAAATAAGTCAATACAAAAAGGCAAGAGAAAAATGTAAGACAGGTGAAAGGAAACAAAGCTGAGAACTGGCAACAGGAGGCATCAATACAAGTAAATCAGTGACTCAATTTTGAAGGTCAAGGAAGAAAAACTTGTAATGCTCCTTTAATTAGAAAACAAGTTCAATTAATTATTGTCTTGTGAATTCTAAATTGGTCAAAAACATAAATTAAACACAATAAAAGCAGAATGCATTATTTCAAGAGCCTGAATGCCTCATTATGAAATACAAATATAAGGAGTCCATGGGTGGAATTGCTAATCCTTACAAAATTCTATCAGGGAAATCAATTTTCTCAGGACCAGAGGAGAGGCTGAGACTGTAAAATAGGTTCAATGATTGGTAACCAATGAAGACTTTACTGCAATTCTGCATGGCAATGCACAATGCTCCCAGTCATTGTGTACTTAAGGGAATCATTTTACAATTGCTTTCCACTTCTACCTAATTGCCTTTTCAGATCATTTTCATCATTAAGATAGATCCTAAGAAGTCCTTATGTCTTGAAGAATCAAGATTCAAAATTTGTGAAAATGGGATTACCTTTCGGGATGAGCTAATCAAGCACTTCTGCCATGTAACAACAGCACATCAGAATTGCATAAGCATTCTAAATGAGTTTCCGGGCCATAAACAAAACCCACCTTGATGCTCCTCCAAATCCAAGTCAAGATGTCGAATCTCCTCAGTTACCTGGTTGATTTTCTCTCTCATTTCAGTCAATCTATAATATAAATCCACCATTTCTGCTTTAGACTAAAGATATACTCTTCATTATCAAGAATAGTCCTAAACATTGACACGGATGAATGACAAAACTCATTATCATCAAGGGTGTTTTCTTACTGTCTTTCCATACTTGCTATTTCCTGGTTATCTTCTTTAACCTGTTAAAAAACAAGAGGTAAAATAGCTGAAGCATTTCAGTTTTACTGTGCAATCCATGGATGCACACGCCATTTCACTAAGCCAGTCCGGAATCTTGGGGTCTCGTTTGACCCTCAACTATCCTTTCTACCCCACATCTGTGCCATGACCCGCTCTGCCTTCCCCCACCTCCGCAACATCACCCGGCTCTGTCTCATACCACAGGCCGCCGAAACCCTCATACTTACTTTCATTACATCGAGGCTCGACTATGCAAACTCATTGCTTGTCGGCCTCCCCAACTCCTCCCTCCACAGGCTGCAGATCATCCAGAACTCTGCAGCCTGTGTCCTCTTCTGCACCAGGCTCCGTGACCCTATCACCCCCATCCTTGCCCAACTCCACTGGCTTCCCATCACACAGTGGATATAGTTCAAGATCCTGGTCCTCACCTTCAAAGCCCTCCACAGTCTTGCTCTTCCCTACCTCTACGACCTCCTAACCCCCTACCATCCTGTTTGCTCCATCCGCTCAGCGGGCTCTGGCCTGGTTCACGTCCCCCACCTTGCTCGCCCCATTATTGGCAGGTGGGCCCTGCCCCACTCTGCCATTTAGCCCCTCCCCCTCTCCTTATATATACATACATTATATACATATAATCTTTACTAATAAAGACATAATGTCTGTCTCTGTGTCAATCTACTTTCCATATTGGATGCTTTGGTTGCAAGTGAAGTTGCAATGGGTGGGTACAGCTAGTTTATAACAAGCAAACTCAAATCTCAGTATAAATAGAAACAACAGTTGGAAAGAAATCTATCACAACTTGCACAAGTATAAAGGACTTGATGTTGTAATAAACTGTGTATGAGCTTGTGTTGTGCAAAGAAATTATATGACTACTCAAAATGTATATTGTGATGAATTACAGTAGTTACCCACTACTGTGTAAGCCAACTTGGACTCACTCTCAAGATAGAACAATTTATGAGGCCAATGTAAGGATTCTTAATATGAAATTATTTTTAACACTCATATATATTTTATCATATCTTCACCTGCTTTAGTAGTCGTTCTCTCTCTTCCTGTGGAGAGCCCATACTTTTATCCTCTGAGATGATCTGATCACGATGAGATTCCAATTCATTGAGCTTTTCATACAGTACCACGGCTTCTTGCTTTACCTGGGAGTGAGCTATATCCTTCAACAATGGAACATAATTTGGATTTTATGCAACATGTCACATTAATCCAAACACATAATCAAATGACTTAAGGTGGATAGGTCTTAAGGTGGATTGTCAAGGTGGAGAGTGAGGGGGCAAGGCAGAGGGATTCAAGGATGGAATTCCAGAGAATGGAAGCAGTTTGTCTGAAAGATCACCCACCAATGCTGGAGCAGAGATTGTGGGGAATGTGAAGTAGGCCAGTGATGGCTGAGCATAGAGAATGACAAGGGCAGTAGGATCGTAAGAGGTTGCAGAGGTAGGGTGGGGCGAAGCCATGCAGACATTTAAAAGTTAGGACAAGATAATTGAGACAATGCAGTAAAAATTTAAATGAATGATTTGCTTTTGAACCTCTCCTTTTACTCCCTCATCACAATCTTGAATTCATGCTCTCCTATATATATAAACATGTATACATATATAAATAATTAAATCTCAGAATTACTGGCCCACCATACAAACATTTCACATTTGTTTTCATTGAAACTCACTAATATTATGGCATTTTAGGTCTCTTGCTGTTTATAACAAATATTTTACTAGATTTTCAATTTGATTTACTGACAGTATCTAAGAATTCTGCCAATATAAAATACTATTGTCTTTGCATATGAAAGAATACTTTCAATGCAAAGCCCTTCACCACATATCACACCACTTCATTAATTTTCCTCCTCCAACCTCAAGGAGGATATTTTGAGTGAAATTCAGCAAACAGCAAATCAGATGATGTTAAAGGTCATGTCTCTACAGATAATTTTCCACATAAGTGGCGATCTCATACTTTACATTCTTAAGTTCTGATTTGGAGGAATCAACAACTTAAAAATGGAATAAGTGCTAGGCAGTGCTGTGTAGTTGACGCGTATTGGATTTCCAAATCACGAATTTACATATCCAGGGCCAAAGAGCATACAATCATTCACAGATCAAATATCAATGGCAGATGCTGTTTCTTGTTCTGGAGCTGGATGAAAGCAATTAACTATAAGATTTCTAACAGGTAGTAGAGATTAGGAGGCTTGAGTGCTTTGCATGAAAAATAATATACTGAAAGCTACAGATCCCTGTAATCCAAGTTTCCATAAGCACAAATTCAAAGCAGGGCTCCTAAATTTTATAGAAATTATGCAGCTGGTTAACCAGATATTCAGATTTATTATTTCTTCAGGGCTAGTTGCAGTTTAGTCATCATTCTGTTAACTTGTTAGAAAGAATTGCTGACATAGATGACAAACACTTTTCTGTTTCCAGTTATTCAAAGAAAATTGCAAATGTAACCCTTTTCCAGCTAGTGAATAAATACGAAGATAGAAATGTAAACAATGGTTACAACTCTTACAGTCTCCAAAGCTTCCTTCTTTGTGTTCAGCCCATCTAATTCTTGCTGCCGAGCATCCAGCTCCTGAAAATGAAATATAAAAGGAAAGATTCAACATGCTCTTTAAATAACTTCATCAATATAAAAACAATACTGCAGAGATATTTATAGATTTTGCAAAACCCTTTCAGTTCTGTGGTTATATTTCAGAATCAAAATAAAATACTATTCTGCAGTTTTTTATATATAGCTGCAATTTTACATTGAAAGCCACAGAAAACTTAATCAGTTAACATTCCATATATACAAATGAGTCAGGTGTTACTTGCACTTTGAATCATAGGTTTCAACAGAAGTAATTATGATTTTTCACGAGTTCCCTTCTTAGAAATCCTGTTAACAATAGAACTGATAATCAATGTTAACTCTGGAGTAATTTTAGCTTTCAACCACTGGGTACTTTTTTACAAATTGATAAAAAGCACAGATAGTTTGGAACTACCTCAGCACTTAGCTAAAAGGTGTAGTGTTACTATAAACAGGAAAGGTTCATTGAACCTTTCTCCAGACATCCGTTCAGTGTGCTGTAATCAACAACAACAAAATTGCATTTGTAGAGTGCCTGTCACGTCGGGAGTACGTCCCAAGGCGCAGTGTTTCGGAGCCCCCTGAGCGGAGGGAGGGGGCAGTATGGTAGGGGGTTAGGAGGTCACAGAGGTAGGGGGGAAGCAAGGCCGTGGAGGGCTTTGAAGGCGAGGACCAGGATCTTGAACTGAATCCTCTGTGTGATGGGAAGTCAGTGGAGTCGGGCGAGGATAATAATAATCCTTGCATTTGATATAGCGTTTTTCACATCTTCTAGACGTCTCAAAGCACTTCACAGAATATGCTGTAAAATGAATTGACCGCATATTTGTGGGCGAAACGTGGCAGCCAATTGCGCACATCAATGTCCCACAAACAGTCATGGATTGAAAATGATCAATTTATTATTGTTTTTTGTTTTGGAGGGATTATCATCAGGCGTGTGGAGTAAGGAAACTTGCCCAAGGTTTCGCCCTGCCTGGAATTGAACCCAGGTGTCTCGCTTGCAAGGCGAGTGATCTAACCACTGAGCTACAGGACTCCTGGACTACAGGATGGGGGTGATAGGGACACTGAGCCTGGTGCGGGAGAGGACCCGGGCTGCAGAGTTCTGGATGATCTGCAGCCTATGGAGGGAGGAGTTGGAGAGGCCGACAAGCAGGGAGCTTGCATAGTCTGTGTGTGAGACAGTGGCAGAGCTGGGTGATGTTGTGGAGGTGGGGGAAGGCTGAGCAGGTCATAGCACACATGTGGGGTAGAAAGGATAGTTGAGGGTCAAACACGATGCCAAGGTTCTGGACTGGCTCTGTGAGGTGGAGCGTGCATCCTTGGATCATGATGCTTACTGTCAGTACTTGAGGTGTGGAGTTACTGACGGGAGCCAATCAGGAAGGCCTCAGTTTTGTTGACATTCAACTGTAGAAAGTTAGCTCATCCAGGACTTGACGTCTAACAGACATTCTGTCACGACAGCAGTGGTCCTGGAGTTGAGGGTGGAGGCAGAGAATTAGAGTGGATGATGTCACCAAGAGGAAGCATATAAATATTGAAGAGAAGATCAAGGGCAGAGCCCTGAGGAACCCCGCATGAGACGGTGCGGAGGCTAGGGGAAAAGCGTTTTTGGAAATGAAGTGGATTCGGTGTGAGAGGTAGGATCTTAACCATTCAAGGACAGAACCATGAAGGTTGAGGTGAGAGGAGGCGGTGGAGCAGGATCGAGTGGTCAACGGTATCGAAGGCAGCAGAGAGGTCAAGGAGGACGAGGAGGCAGAGTTGGGCAAAATATCTTTTGTCACTTTGACCAAAGCTGTTTCTGGGTCATGCTTCTGTGACGGCAAGGAAACCCGATTGGAGGGGTTCATGAGGGGAGTGGCCGGAGAGGAAAGAGCGAAGCTGGAAAGCAACAACTCGTTTCAGGACCTTGGAAAGGAAAGGGAGGTTGGAGATCGGGCTGTAATTTGAGGAACCGGTTGATGATGTAGAAGTGGAACCTGCAGTCGTCCTTGGCCTCCAAGATTGTCTTGGAGTACAAGGATGATTTAGTGGAGGTGAGGGTGGAGTGGTAGGTTTTGAGAAAGTCCAGTCAGTTCGGCCGATGGACCGTTAAATTAGGTTGGAGCCGGGTGCGTTAAGCGGCTAGCACCTATACCTTGTGGGAGCAAAGGTGGCTGGTGTACCAGGGTGCCTTCCTTGAGTAGGAGGTGGTCGGGAAGTGAGGGGAGCAAGGGCATCGAGAGTGGATGACAGGGAATTGTGGAGGAGAGTGACCGAGGAGGATTGGTAATTGCGGGAAGAAGCCCGGAGGGAGAGGAGTTCAGATGACTCCAACGCAGCGGAGAGGGAGGGTGGGGGAGATTTTTTTCTAAGGCAGTAGGAGATGGAGGTTGATTGGGTGGTGGTGGGGAGAGGGATTGAGGAGTTAAAAGAGATTAAGTAATGGTCCGAGATGGCTTTGTGGGTGATAGTGAGGTCCGAGACGGTGAGGTCCTAGGTGATCACCAGGTCGATGGGGTGACCGTGGACGTGGGTGTCGGAGTGGATGTGGAGGGAGAGGTTGAGGGAGCAGAGGAGGGAGTAGAAGTCAGAATAGGTAGAGTAGGAGGAGATGAAGGTTAAAGTCGCCTAGGATGAGGAGGCATTCGGAGCAGAGGGAGAGGATGGTGGAGATGTCGGGGGGAACGCGTTAGATAAGGAGAATTTTGAGGGAAAGATTGGAGGGATGGTAGAGGGGAAGGTGCTCAAAGGAGGGGAAGGTTCCGGAGGAATGAGGGGATAGGCCGAGCGGGGACCGGGAGATGAGAGCCACGCCACCACCACAATGGTTAGGTCGAGGGTGGTGATGGAAGGTGTAGCCGGATGGTGTGGCCTGTGTCAGGGGGAAGGTGTCACCTGGAGTGATCCAGGTTTCAGTGAGGGCGAGAATGTTGATGTGTTCATCGACGATGAGGTCTTGGATGGTGAGTGTTTTGTTGGAGAGGGAACAGACGTTTTGGAGACCTTTTTGGCCAAGAAAACGTCGTGCTCTGCCACTGTCAAGCTCTCTGGGATGTTACCCTACATAAGGGTCGCTAGTTGTATAAATGCAAGTTGTTGTTGTTGTATGTTTCTAACATAAATGGACAATTAATATTAGTAATACTTGGACTTAAGTCACTGCAAACAAAATACTTTTTAGTAATGTTCGATAAGCTAAAGCTGTTGGAAGGTAGCTCAGTGTCACTCCAAACATCTACTTACCCGAATAAATCTAATTTCTCTCTGAAACCCTTATGGTGGGGGGGGGGGGGAATCTTCTGTTAATTCTCAGGTTACTTTATTATAATCCAATCAATAAATTTATATGGTGATTATTTATCAGAAAAAATGACCCACGTGTAACAGATGTTCATTTGTTGATTTCATTTTCATGTATTTGGCCTGTTTGTCTTCTGACATATTTTTGATGATGGTATCTGCTGCCTGTTTTTCCTTTTCGATTTCTTCATCTATAACTCGAATAAGATCTTCCTTCCTGCAAACAGGAAAAGTAAGTGACAGTGTCAAAATCAATTTGTAATCTGGAAAATCAGAAATGTATTCAATTTGGGAAAATATAAAGAAATAGCTACAAAATACGTACTCCATTATACTTTGCAGTAAAAAGATTTATTACAAAATAGCGTACATTTTGCTCCTATTTTTTCCAGGTTTATATAATAATAATCCTTGTATTTGATATAGTGCATCATTGCATCTTTGAGATGTCTCAAAGCACTTCATAGAATATACTGTTAAGTGGATTGACTGTATTCTGTGAGGGAAATGTGTTAGTTTTGAAAAATCATTTAAGGTTTGCAAGTTTGGAAAAAAAACGTAAAAGGTTTGCAATTTAGGTAATATTGTTTGTGGAGATTTACAAATGTGCTCTCAATGCACATTGAGGTAATACGAGGAATGTGCTCTGGCAATACCAGAAGCATCCGCTCACCTCTCTTCCAAAGCTACTTACTTGAGAGGACTAAACTCTTTTTAAAAGGGAGAAACAAAACAAAAATCCAGCACATGCTTTTTGTTTTCGATCTCCCTGTTTCCACCCCTGCCCTCCCCCCTCCCCACCCCGACCCTCAGCTTGGGTCCACAACTCTGTCTGTCCAGTGCCTTGGGACATCCTCCCAACTTGAAAGGCGCTATACAAATGTAATTTTGTTGTTGTTTGGCTGTAACCAACCAAATGTTTCAAATATCAATTGAAGTAAAACGTCTAAAAATGTAAAACTTATCTGTTACTATATAAGTAAATATATAAAAGATAATAATAATCCTTGCATTTGATATAGCACCTTATCACATTGAGACATTTCAAAGCGCTATACAGAACATATTGTAAATGATTGACCGTGTATTTTGTAATACATTTTATAACATGCTCAATTGTCAGTACTGCAAGCCATAAGAAATTGTTGATGACAATGTATTTACACATACAATGAATTCTCATCTCTTGTAAAACATATTTGTAACTGGTTTGAAAAGCTACTCTTTTATAGTGTGTAGACTATAGTGTAGACTTGTGGTGGCCAACCTGTGGCTCGCAGAGCCATCAAGAAGCAGCCTCTGAACATTCACATGAGACATAGTGTGATTTAGTTTTTTTCGTGATTGAATATTTCTTGATTCATGGCATAAATCAATAATAATAATAATCCTTGCATTGGATATAATGCTTTATCACGTCATTGAGACATTTCTAAGAGCTTCACAGAATATGTTGTCAAGTGGATATTCAATCAAGAAAATTTTTTTGTTGGCTGACCATAAAGGTTGACTACCACTGCTGTAGAAAGCTTGGCAAGTTTAAGATTTGATCAGAAATACATTGTAACTTCTTGTTGAGGATATTTTAATATTCCTTAAAAGTATAATTTTTATGGGTAAATTCTGGACACTTGTGACGGTGCTAGCACTCCTAAGGTACAGTACAGCAGATGCAGGATAAACTTCCTTCTATTTTTCCTATTTTCCTGATAACTTCAATCTCAGAATAGCAGCCTCTACTGCACAAGCATGATTCCCCTCTCTCCCATTTCCCATACCAGCTCTCTTTATAAATTTTGATTGCCATTTTGGTGTCAATTTTGAGCCAAATCGTGATTTTTTCCCCCTGATGTCTAGCAATTCTATGGAGATAGCTTACTATAGCCAGTGCTGATGGGACACTCATTTCATCATTCCAGTTCTATTTTCCCTTTCAGAGTGCAGTATCTACCCCCTCTTACGCTTGTAATGGGATTTTGGCTTAACTGCCGCAATACTATTTTCACCCAAACTAATTTGTTTGTATTTTTTCAGATGCCAAAGGAGCAATGGGTAAATGTAATTTGCAATAAAACTGAAAATGAAATACCTTTACAATAGAAAATATCATCATTTACTCAGCATTATAGCCACAAAATTATATTCAATATCACCAGTTAACAAAAACCTCACTAAGAATGGTTATTCATTGGTGTTATTCATAGAATCATAGAATTATACAGCACAGAAGGAGGCCATTCAGCCCATCATGTCTGTGCCGGCTCTTTGAAAAGTGTTATTGAAACCAATCCCACTCCCCCACTCTCTCCCCATAGCCTTGCAAACTTTTCCTCCCCAAATAATGATCCACTTCTCTGTTAAAAGTTGTTATCGGATCAGCTTCTACCACCCTTTCAGGCAATGCATTCCAGATCGGAACAACTCGCTGTGTGAAACAATTTGTCCTCGCCTCCCCTCTGTTTCTTTTAACAACTGTTTTAAATCGATGTTCTCAAGTTACCGACCCACCCGCCAGTGGAATTCTGTAGTATATTAAGTGCAACAATGTATTAAAGACTGAAAATCAGTAACACAAATCTTGTGACCCCTGACGTGTGTAAAACACATACCATCTCAATCACTGGATTAACTATTAACAGAAAATATTTAAACATAATGTTGTTCATTTATGTCTTTGACAGGCTTATATGAACCTGCTTTATGTAAGTCATCATTTTAAGAAACAAAAATATTACCATACTTTGTAAATCTAGTTTATATATCCCTTGGTAAAAAAACACTGTAGTGGTACATTTTAGTTAATATTTAGCTGGGAATCCAATTTACATTTCGGAACAAAGGTCATCACTAAACTTTTTCTCATATGAACTGGGAAACATCAACTATCTGTTAGTTTGAAAGAGAACGTTGGACGATCATCTTAACAGGTATGACTTTTACAGCGGATATAAATTATTTTCTTTTAAAGGGAGTAGGACTTTATGGAATTGTGTAGAAAATCAGATCTCCTTACTTTGTGTGTTTAAAGCATTGAAAACTGCTGAAAGTCTTTTTAGTGTTTTCTAGTTTAAACAAACAAGGTAGTCAATGATGAAAACACCAGTTTTAAAAAACAAATCTGAAACTGCGATTGCTGCCTTATGTAGGACATGACGACTAAAGTTCTCGAGCTTGGGTTCCAGTTGAAATTTGGGAAGAATGCCATCATAGAGAACATTGGAGAAATCTCTTAGAAGTTCCAAAAGCATGGATAAAAGTTTCAGACATGGTAATAAAAAGATTGGGGTGTAAAAACATAATGTTTTGGAGGGGGAAGAAGAATGGAGCAGAAGTTGCATTTGAAATTCAGCTCAGAGTCAAACAGAACTGAGTTTTTTAAAATACAATATACATTTATATAGTGCCGTTCATACTGGGAAGACACCCCAAATTGTATTCATGACCGTATCTCGTGAATTCATGACATGTATACATAATATTTCAAGGTTCACCATTGGTTCACCAAAAGATAAATTTACTTTAATCTTTTCAAAATATTCATATTTTTCAATTTTAACCAGGATATCTAACTTTGTTGGTCTGCAATTTCCCATTAATTGCTATTTTATCATAAATATTTAATTTACACCCTTCCAGTGTCTCTTTCAAAGCATGGTTCACTTCTCCAGTATAAATTCCAACTTTCCCCTCCATATTACACAGTAGATTTACTTTAGTTTTCACAAAACCCAGAGTATTGGTGCCCGGTGGACAAGTAATAGCTAGGAATGCGATATAACTTGCTTCCCATGCTAAAATATGATCACATTTTGGGTTGTAGCTTAGTGGTTGGAGCACTCACTTTGCAGGTGAGAGACCTGGGTTCAATTCCAGGCAGAGGGCGAAACCTTGGGCAAGTTTCCTTACTCCACACAGAGCCTAATAATAATCCCTCCAAAACCAAAAACAATAATAAATTGATCATTTTCAATCTACGACTGTTTGTGGGACGTTGCTGTGCGCAATTGGCTGCCGCGTTCGCCCACCAATATACAGTCAATTCACTTTACATTGTGTTCTGTGAAGCGCTTTGGGACGTCCTCCCGACGTGAAAAGCGCTATATCAAATGCAAAGATTATTATTATTATTATTATTATTGTCAGGATGGTGCTGGCTACACTTCTCATGTGCTGCATATGTGTGCAAACGCAGGTGACTTTGTGACGAAAGGATGCTAGTGGCACTTAAATATTAGCTTCTTGCACAAAGCTCGTATGTCCAGGGTGCAGGAAATGACATCAATGGTGACTTGACCACCTGGAAGACTGTTACGTTTTTGTGCTTCACTCAGAACCCACCTCTGCCTTTTAACAAAGTTCCCCTATAATCTATTCTCTCTTCTGGTATCTTCTGTACATCTTAGATAAATATTAACTAAAAACTTGTATTTTAACAGAACAAGGGCATGGCGAAACCCTGGTTTCAACTCTGGACTGGAATTCTCTTTATGACCACTGCTACAACAGCCTCATCCCTATGTGTTTTCAGTGGCACAATTGTAAGTATAGTAGCTTAATGAACACATGTTTATTGCATTTGCCAAGTAATTCTAAGTATTATAAAAACAACTTGACAATATGACTAGCATGTCTCAGTTTTCCCTTGTTTTCTTCTTTCAAAATCCTGGTTAAAGTCAACATAATTGTGACTTTACTCAATCTTCAATGTATCCTCAATTAATGCTCCAATATTGTTCTACCTGTTAGCAATAGTAAATCAATTGTCAATCATGTGCATTTCTGGATGGCACATAGCAAAACTGTTTATTTGCACATTTATTTATCTGCATTGGACTGGAACTGGATGTTGGGCTGTGATACAGTCAAAATAATTCCGTCTGCACATCTGTAAAGTTTCACACTTCCTCAAAAGTCGTTAAAGATGTGATCTAAATGCTCTTGAGTAGCATTCTTTGCGACTGCTTGCACATGTGCAGAACTGGCTTTTTCTCCAATTACACAAAGGTCAGTCTCCCAAAGTAAGTTTCACCCACATCCACCACTATCTCTCCACTTGGATATCAAGAACGTTATCCATGCCTTAATCAGATCCAGATTCCATTGGCCCCATCGGTGCCTGGCTCCATGACTCCCCAATTGCTAGCAGATTGAATTCAAAATCAAATCTCTTCAATAGCCTCACCCTACCGTTGACCTCTTCGTGCCTGCTTCATGTTCCCCACCTCGCTCGCCCCACTATTGGTGGGCGAGCCTTCTGCCACTATGCCTGCACCCTCTGGAACTCCATCCCTCTGTCCTCCGCCTCACCCCCTCCCTTGCCTCCTTCAAGACCCATCTCAACACCCTCCTCTTCGACCGTGCTTTCAATCTCCCTGCCGTACCCCCTACTTTCCACACTCCCCGAACCCCCAGCTTGGGTCCGAAACTCTGCCTGTCTAGTGCCTTGGGACATTCTCCCGACGTGAAAGGCGCTATACAAATGTAATTTTGTTGTTGTTGTTCTGCAACCCTACTGCCACAGACACTACCCTACTCAGCAAACACTTGCTTGCTTCGTGTCCCCCACAGAATCCACTCACCATTTAACCATTCTGTCCCCAGTCTCGCACATCTCTCCATCTTAGAATCCCTCCAGCTCGCCCCCTTCCTCCTTACCTTTAAACGTATCTTCTCAAATGTGATTTCGGTCGCCTTCCCCTTATCCCCGAGATCAGGTAGAGGGAAGATCATTCTACTCTCAAGTAATCCAAGATACTTTCACATACATTTGAGAATGAATTGTTGAAATTTAATAAGAATTAAATCGACAAAACATTCTGTGAGTTAACTAGACGTCAAACTCACAGAATAACAACTTTTGTTTTCTCCCACAGTGTGACTGCAGTGGAAAGAATCTTACCTTTATTCCTGATAACCTATCTGCAAACATAACCAAGTTAATCCTCACTAATAACAATATTTCTTTGACTTATCGTGATGTTCAAATTCTTCGGAATTTAACACATCTGAAAGAACTGTACCTTGGATACAACCTGATACAAAGTTTATCTTCTGAAGTATTCAGCAAGTTAAAAAACTTGGCTATATTGGAACTACACAATAACTGCCTCACATATCTGGATAGTAATGTTATGCCATCATCGAATTTAACACATTTAACAATATATGGAAATCAATGGAACTGCAGTTGTTCCCTTCTAGATTTACAGACATGGATCAATCGCTCAAAAGCAATTTTAGGTAAGATTTACTTCTATTAACCTTTTTTAAAGCTCTGTTAGACTCATCCTCAGACCCCTTTTGTTCTGCTAAATAGTCTTACCATCTTTATTTGTTTTACACCTGCTACAGTGAAATGATATGGTGAATTAATGAAATTAATCTGAATGTTTTTAGTTTAGAAAAAAACGCATACATCTGTTTTAGGGAATTTAACCAGTACAACATGCAAAACCCCTGAAAAAATGAAGTACTTCACTATCGAGACAGCTCCCATCAACCAAAGTGAATGCTTCTCTGCATCTAAGAGTACTCCTGCTATCACTAAAAGCAACTTTATTACAAACCAGTCTGTGACGATGCATGTTGTTGGATCACAGACTTCTGCTGTGACTACACAAAACACCACGAATAATCAGAAAGATGGATCAGGTAAAATACAATTTTTGTCTGAAGTTACTTGCTGGTATGTTTATAAATAACACAAAACTAGCTGCCACATTTGCCTACAAAAATGCACAGTCCCTACACTTTACAGTGAAGCACTTTGATACCTTCTCCTGAGATAAAAGGCACAAAGTGATGATTGACAAGTGATAAGAAAGGAGATAAGTGATTTTACCCCACAAGCCCATCCAATGCTGGTCAGAGAGCACAGTTTCAAACAGCCAACACAGTGATAATGGGCCAAATGACCCTTTGTGCTGTAAATGGTTCAATGAATATAGGTGTTTATGAATCATTTCTGTTGGTATATCCCATGGTTCTGTGTGTGTTTTAATATTCAGATAATTGTGGTCCACTGGGCTTTAGTGTATTTAGCATTTTTGGAATTAATAACATTTGTAGATTAGTGTGGACTTAACCATCATTTCAATAAAGAGGGGAAGAGAGTCCCTCTCAAAAAACTGCCATTCAATACTTGAAAACAAACCAGCAACAGAGAATCACCATATAAATGCAGCACTGAAACCATGTGCAAACCACATTCCAAATACTCACTACATTTTGAGACCTCTGCTGCCTCTTATCATCACAACAATGGCCGGCTAATTTCCACCGTATTTTTGTTAATATCCAATACACTTCTGCACTTTGCCTGGATTTTTTTTAAAGCTACATACAACTCTCCTAAAACATAGGGCAGAATTTGCCCTTGTTGATCAAGAATGTAGACAGTAATTCCACTTTTCAGGTTCACTTAAATATAACTTATATTTGGTCCAGTCAAAATAACTTGCACCTAAGCTTACACCAATATGCAAAGTATTAACACTCGATACTAACAAATACTGTATTACGACTTTCTAACTTTATTATTCTTATTGAAAGATCGACATAGAATTGGAAAATCTTGGAAACTCCTGTTGACCATTATGGCTGGCTCAGCTGGTTCCTCTTTTCTACTAATCATCATTGTAAAATGCTTCAAATGGTACAAATGGCTCTCTGCCTACGACCACCATAAATTGAGGGAAGAACCAGAGCTGATCATGGAAAATCCATCTGAGATAGGTTTGAATAGTGTTCCATGGGCCACAACTACAGATGAAACCAATGACCAAGAAGAGGAAACAAAGACAACCACGTACAAGCTTCCTGAAGACGATGATGGATATATTGAAGATGTTTATATAGATACAATAGAATTCAAAGATTATGAGGAGTAAAAATGATTTATGATCTGGGTTGTAGTATAAGATTTGATATCCAAGGTGGCAGCCTCTGTCAGGTACAATTAAGGCTGATTAAGTTAGAACAGCCAACATTTTAACTACTACTTTAGCATATTTAGCTCTGCTTTCCCTCAACACACTGGCTGTAGTTTGTGCAACAAAACTATTTCCCCAAATTCACATAAAATCATGTGAGGATATGGGAAGTCAAGATCAGGAATATCATAACAAGAATTTATAAAAAATCTCCGTAAGTCATAAAAATATCCATACATCTTACTATTCTCCTAAAATATTTATCATCTTTCTTTAGGAGAAGAAAATTGTCATATTCATCCAATTTCTGTGAATCTGTTAGCTATGTTTGTTCAAAATATATACAAAGGTGCACACAAACATAAAAAGGTGCATTTTTTCCAACTGACTGCATATGGTAGTCCACAATATTGAGATGTCTATGTTTGAAGATAGAAAACAAGGATAGACAACTGTTAGAAGTTACCTTTGATCTACTTAGGACTAAGATAGCTATTCAAGTGCACCAGATTAGAATGAAGTTTGGAATATAAAGAATGAATATCCCACTTTCAAATGTATGCATGCATACATCTCAGATTTTAACATTTACTCTTTCTCAACGCCTTTTCTCCTTAACCAGTGAATTGATGTAGCAATGAGAAGAACCTAAAAATGATAAACCGCCAAAATGGAGATAATTTAAATTAAAAAATGGTATTAGAATCCAAATTAAAATCTTTAAAAAAAATCTGATAAATTGAACTGATTAGTGATAGAAAAGTAAACTTTGATGAATGAATCTGAACTCGTAAGCAGAACATAACATATAGGAGCAGGAGTAGGCCATTCGGCCCTTCGAGCCTGCCTCGCCATTCAATCATGGCAGATCTTCTTATCTAACTCCAGCTAATAACCTGACCCTGCCTTATCCCCATATCCCTTAATCCCTTTTGCAATAAGAAACATATCTATCTCAGTCTTGAGTATGTTCAAGGACTGAGCGTCAACAGCCCTTTGGGGTAGTGAGTTCCATACATTCTCCACCCTTTGAGTGAAGAAGTTCTTCCTCAACTCAGTGCGAAAGGGCTGGCCTCTGATTTTAAGGTTGTGACCTCTGGTTTTAGTTTTTCCAACCAGGGGAAACAATCTCCCACTATCTACTCTATCATGCCCTTTGATGATCTTATAGGTTTCTGTAAGATCCCCTCTAATTCTTCTATATTCTAGAGAATATAGGCCCTAATTGGTCAGCCTATCCTCGTAACTCATCCCCTTCAGCCCTGGTACTAACCGAGTAAATCTACGCTGCACCCCTCCAAGGCAAGTACATCTTTCCTTAAATGAGAAGACCAAAGCTGGACACAGTATTCCAGGTGAGGTCTCACCAGGGCCCTATACAGTTGCAGCAAGACTTCCCTACTCTTATACTCTAATCCTTTCATAATGAATGCTAACAAACCGTTCGCCTTCCTAATTGTTTGCTGCACCTGCAGACTAACTTTCTGTGACTGGTGTACAAGGACACCCAAGTCCCTCTGGACGCTAACACATTCCAATCTCTCCCCTTCTAAAAAATAATCCGCTCTACTGTTTTGCTACCTATGAACATGATTCATAAATAGGAAGAAAATGATACTGTCTACTGGTGGATTTATTTTATTGACATTCAGATCCATTTTGCTATGTAGAATGCACTCCAATATTGTAATAATATATAAACATTTATCTTCAAAAAGGAATGACATGTATAATGCACAGTCAATCCAACAACTAGTTGCATTTATATAGCATTCCAGAGCACTTAACAGTGTATCCTGTGGATCGCTATGAGATATCTTGATTTGATAAGGTTTTATAACAAATGCAAGGATTATTATTATTTATATGTGTAACCAAAAGCAAAATTTGTAAATGTAAATTTGTATTACATTGCTGTGCACAATCGGCTGCCGCGTTTCGCCCACAAATATAGTCAATTCACTTTACAGTATATTCTGTGAAGCCCTTTGAGACGTCTAGAAGATGTGAAAAGGGCTATATCAAATGCAAGGATTATTATTATTACATTTAATATTACGTAATGACTTGAATTACATTTTTACAATCAGGGAAATAGCAATTAGCACTGTGTGAACAGAATATAACGCTGCCAAGGAATTGCTTCAATACGTTAAACCTAATGTACTAGATAGTCTTCAATATAAATATTGTGATTATCACTACTCACTCTCGGCGTTCTGTGAAGATTATATCCATGCTCTGAGTTTCTCGATCATTTTGTGCTTTCAGCTAAAACACAAATTCACAAAATAAGAATACTGCAGAAGCTGCTTTATGGTTGATGATGATGGTTAACTCTTGACATTGGGTAAATCGGACAAAGCACCCGGCCACGATTCATTTTTATTCTTACCCATTTCAAATATGCTGGTTAATTAGGACAAAAATCAAATTTCGGTTAATCCGGAAAAAATGGGAAGCCCACATGTGTCCATCTTAAGCGGTTTTCACTGTACAATGACAGCTTCAGTAAAGTCCATATCCTATACAGAGGGTGAAAATTTAGATTTGTATGGCTCCTTATCACATTGAAGGACCAACCTGCCCCCTAACAACCTGCCTGCTTCCTCCGCTCAGCGGGCTCCAGCCTGCTTCACATCCCCCGCCTCGCTCGCCCCACCATTAACGGGCGGGCCTTCAGCTACTCTGCGCCCCACCCTCTTGAACTCAATCCTGCAGTCCCCTCATCTTGCCCCCTCCCTTGCCTCCTTCAAGACCCTCCTCGTCGACCAGGCCTTCGGTCACCCTCCTTCCCCCCATGCCCTCCATTCTCCCCAATCCTGATCCTCAGCTCAGGTCTGAAACACTGATTATCCAGCACTGTGGGACGTCCTCCCGAAGTAAAAGATGCTATACAAGTGTAATTTTGTTGTTGTTGATGAAATCTCTCCAGCTGTCCCAGCCGATAATTCCCCCAAAGAAAATTGGTGATTCATTTCAGAGGTGTTTATAGGATATTGCTGTATGCAAATTGGCTGCCACGTGCACTTACAAAATACAGTCACTGTGCTTTACAGTAGATTCTCTGAAGCTCTTTGAGACATCCTCTCAACATGAAAGCCACTATATCAAATGCAAGGTTTGTTTTTCTGTCCTTTCCGGTCTGACTGTGCCACCCAACATCCTGAGGGCAACCGTTAAAATTTCCTCCCAGGTATCCAATAATGATACTTGACAATTAAACTTCTGGAGGTCCAGAGCTTTCCTTGAGGGTATTTTCTTTCTCTCTCCAATTAAGGAAGCACAAATAGTTCAAATGGGATCTGGAACTGAATGATCAGAAGCAACCTGAAGTTGCTTCCCACCATTGTGGCACTGACACAGGACAAAAGTTTCAGTTCCCCAAAATAAAAATGAGTCATTTATTACATGTGAAATATTGCTGTCCACAAATTAGCTGCTGCATTCACCTACAAATAAATGGTGAATTCACTTTGCAACATTTACTCGTGGCATTTGGGAGACGTTTTGACATTAATAGACACTGTATTAAATGCAAGGATCATTATATTATTGCTACTACTATTAGTATTGGAGGAACTTATTGCATGGAACAGGTAATTATGTTAATTTAGCCAAACTAAATATGATAAAAAAACTTTCATTTTATTTGTCATTATAATACTTACAATGTTAAAGTCATTCATAACTTCCTCCATATCTGTATTTGTGTTCAGTTTATCCACCAGCTAAAGACATATCATAGAATAAATTGAGAAAACATAAAATACAGATTATATCATTATTTGACGAGTTTTTAAAAATATCTGCTTTGTTAATTTATTGAGTTTTACTTTGAACCACATTTAAAATGTTTATAATTGAGCAGAAAAAGCACAAACTATTGTGCCTCTTCCACAAAAATACAAGTCACTTACAAAAACAAATCAACAATATCCAACGCACCATATTGTAGTCTGCTAGCTGCCCCTGGAAGTCTTTAATTTCTACAGCCAATGCTTCAGCTCTGTGGCAAATGATTAAGAATGTCAATGAAGATGTACAGAATAAAGTATTTAAAACATGAGAATTTGAATACTCTCAGGACTGAGAACTTACCTCTTTTCATAAGATAAATAGACAGAATTTTCTTGATTAAACATATCGATTTCCTTTTGTAGCTTGCTAACTTCTGTAGTAAGTTCATTTATTTTGGCTCTGTATGAAAAAGATTCACAAAATATTAACATCATAATCTTACACAATCCTGTTTTTCCTACCTTCAAGTTAATAAAAAGTTACTCCTCCCTCCACAGGCTGCAGATCATCCAGAACTCTGTAACCCATGTCCTATCCCCAGCACCAGGTTCTGCGATCCCATCACTCAGAGGATACAGTTCAAGATCCTGGTCCTCAACTTCAAAGCCCTCCACGGCCTTGCTCCTCCCTAACTCTGTAAACCTATCCTCTCCCTCCAAACAGCGGGCTCCAGCTTGCTTCACGACCCCCACCTTGCCCGCCCTACCATTGGTGGATGGGCCTTCAGTCTCTCTGCCCCAACCTCTGGAACTCCATCCCACAGTCCCTCCGCCTTGCCCCCTCCCTTGCCTTCAAGGCACGTCTCAAGACTCTCCTCTTTGACCATGCCTTTGGCCATCTACCTATCCCTAACTTCCCTGCCCTCCACCCCTTCTGATCCCAACCACCAGCTCGGGTGCAGATCCCTGACTGTCCAGCGCCTTGGGACATCCTCCTGACGTGAAAGGCACTTTATAAATGTAATTTGTTGTTGTTGTCACAACTGCTAATTCTGGGAACTCATCCCTCTACCTCCTTGGTCTCACCTCATCTCCATCTGTCTTTAAATCCTGCCTCAAAACATACCTTTTTGACCACACCTATGGTCACCTCTCCCCTCCCCCCCTTTCTCAGCTTCCCTAACCCATTTTAGTAAAGTACTCCGAGACTTTAACTTACATGAAGTTCGCTGTAAATAAATGTAAGTTGTTGTATATCGATTAAGTAGTCTGACACATGCTGAGTTTTACGATTGAAATAAACATTCTATACTAATCACACAGGTCCATCAAAACAAAAACATCTCGACACTGACCTAAGGAGTCCAAGAAAATAGGATTTGTCCAGGATCTGACGTTGTGGACCTATAAAGACAATTTAAAAATAAAAACACATATTCCTGTTGTAAATTATAATTCAATCCTGCATTGTCCAATTAAAAATATAAACAAGACTTTTCACATTTTCAAAACACATTTGACCAAATAATTTGACCGTATGAATTTAAAAATGGAGAAAAGTTTACATACCTTTCATTCCAGTTTTCATTCCGCTCAAACCTTGCTGTGTTACAGGGCGATCGGCAACTTTGATCTGAGCAGAGAGCAGTCCTCCAGGCATTAGCCCCCCACTACGGGTTCCAGGTCTAGATGTTCCAGGAGTCATCTAAAGAGACAGAGCTTACTCGTTGAAAGGGCACAAGTATAAGTAACAATTTCCAGACAAACACAATTCTAATGTATATAGCACTCCTTCACTTTTTCTTGCTTCAGGCCCATTTCCAATTTTGTAACTTTGCAAATTCTGATTTCTAAAAAAAATTATAACACGGACAAATTCTGAAACTACATTAATCTCCTCTTACTTTTTTGTTTGTCAGCCAGATACCTGACATACTAAGATTCTATCAAATAACTGTACATACCGCAGTTCCCATCCTCACAGCAGTTGATGGAGCTCGAAGAGCAGTTGAAGGAGGTCTTCCAGTAGGTCCCAAATTGGCTTTGGCCACTGATCGACTTGCTGAAGCTGGCCTTTGACCACTCGCCATGCTTTCGTATATTAAATGTAATATTTTGTATCTTAAAGGTCTATAACCAAAAATGAAAATGGTTACTTAAACTAATAAGTTTAAGTGGAGTCCTGTAGCTCAGTGGTTAGAGCACTAACCTTGGGCAAATTTCCTTACTCCACACGCCTGATAATAATCTCTCAAGAAAAAAAATAATTTGGTCACTTCAATCCGTGACTGTTTGTGGACACATCTGTGTGCAATTTCCTGCGCGTGTCATCCACAAATATACCGTCATTCACTTTGCCCACCACGGGGGCCAACCTCTCCTCCCTGATCCACATCCCTATTCTTCCTCCCCCACCTCGCCCCCCACTTTCCGCTACCAACTGTCCCCTCCGCATCGGTCTACAAAACGTCTGTTTCCTCTCCAACACAACACTCACCATCCAAGACCTCACTGTCGATGAACACATCAACATTCTCGCCCTCACTGAAACCTGGATCACTCCAGGCGACATCTTCCCCGATAGAGGCCACACCACCCAACTACACGTTCCATCACACCCCACGACTTAACCGCTCAACTCTACCGCTCGACCTCCACCTTCGACTCCAGGACCACTGTTGTCCTGACAGAATGTCTGTCAGACATCAAGTCCTGGATGAGAGCTAACTTTCTTCAGTTTGAAAACCAACAAGACCGAGGCTCTTTTGATCTGCTCCCATCAGTGCCTCCACACCTCAGCATGACCGTCCAGGGATGCACACTCCACCTTACTAAGCCAGTCTGGAACCTTGGACCCTCAACTATCCTTTCTACCCCACATCTGCGCCATGACCCGCTCTGCCTTCCCCCACCTCCGCAGGGTCACCCTGCTCCACCACTGTCTCACACCGCAGGCCGCCAAAACCCTCATACGTGCATTCATTACATTGAGGCTCGACTATGCAAACTCCCTGCTTGTCGGTCTCCCCAACTCCTCCCTCCATAGGCTGCAGATCATCCAGAACTCTGCAGCCTGTGTCCTCTCCCCCACCAGGCTCCATGTCCCTATCACCCCCATCCTCGCCCGACTCCACCGGCTTCCCCTCACACAGAGGATACAGTTCACGATCCTGGTCCTCACCTTCAAAGCCCTCCACAGACTTGCTCCCCCCAACCTCTGCGGCTTTCTAACCCCCCACCATTCTGCCCGTTCCCTCCGCTCAGTGGGCTCCAACCTGCTTCACATTCCCCGCCTCACCCACCACAGCGTTGGCGCGCGGGCCTTCTGCCACTCTGCTCCCACCCTCTGGAACTCCATCCCGCAGTCCCTCAGCCTCGCCCCCTCCCTTACCTCCTTCAAGGCCCATCTCAGGACCCTCCTCTTCGACCGTGCGCTCGATCGCCCTCCTTCCCCCTCTGCCCTCCACCCTCCCCAGTCCCGACCCCCAGCTCGGTCCGAAACACTGACTGTCCAGTGCCTTGGGACGTCCTCCCGATGTGAACCGCCCTATTCAAATGTAATGTCGTCGTCGTCGTGCATTGATCGAGCGTCACCGTCTACGGTCTGTAGTTGACACAGTGTCGGGGTCGCCGCTTATTGTGTGTAAAGACATCTAATCGATGCTGTACACACGGTATATATCATCATACACACGGCAGTCAGTCAGGCAGTCAGTCCCGGGTCCGCGGTCAGTCACCGCGGTGTTACACACACCGGGTCAGCGCGGGCCCTCTCGCTGGTCGCCGTCTCCACAGCAACCGCCCGTGGGGGGGGAGGGAGGGGCCTGCGGGATATCGCGAGATTACGGTTCTCGCGCGCGGGGCGGGAGCGGAGGGGGAGGGGGAATCTCGTGTGACGTCAACCCCTCCGCCCCTCCCCCCACCACCGCGCGCGGATCGTTCCGAACCCGAAGCGCGGCGCACGCGCAGCTCCTTCCTCTGACTCTGGCAGGGTTTTGGGTATCTCAGTGCAATGGGGGTGGGGGGGGGGAGGGGGGGGAATGCTTCCCCCTGTGGGTGTGGCTCAATGCAATTATCGAAGTGTTGCTGGGCAGAGGGGGGAGTGTGGCTCAGTGCAATAAGTGAATGGGCCCAACAAGGGAAGGGATGTAAATTGTTGCATGGTCTGCAAGATAATAAAAATAATAATAATAATAATAATCTTTGCATTTGATATAGCGCTTTTCACGTCGGGAGGACGTCCCAAAGCGCTTCACAGAACACACTGTAAAGTGAATTGACTGTATATTTGTGGGCGAACGCGGCAGCCAATTGCGCACAGCAATGTCCCACAAACAGTCGTGGATTGAAAATGACCAATTTATTATTGTTTTTGGTTTTGGAGCGATTATTATTAGGGCTGTGTGTGGAGTAAGGAAACTTGCCCAAGGTTTCACCCTCTGCCTGGAATTGAACTCAGGTCTCTCATTTGCAAAGCGAGTGCTCTAACCACTGAGCTACAGGACTCCAAGATGAGCAGAGCATTTTGTGTATTCCTTGTATTTGAAGCTGGCAATTTCGCTGCTTACAGGCAAGCGGCGCAGCCGATTTGCTCACCGGAATGAAAATCCGAATTCTTATTCTTACAAAGATGCTATGTTCCCCCTTGCTCCGGGCCCTTCAAATTCTTTGAATGTGTGTTCCTTGTGTTCTGCTCACACCCCAACTCCTCCACCCGCTGCCTCTGCTCAGCTGTCTTGGGTCTTCTGTAAATCCCTGGTTCCATCCGCTCTACAATTGGTCCTGTTTTCAGTCATTTTGCCGGTATCTCTGGAACTTTTTGTTTCAATCCTTCCATCTTGTCCACTCTTTCCCCATCTCCAAATCACATCTGAAGACTTTCCTCTTCGGCAGTGTCATCGGTCACCTCCCCCTACCCCACCGCTCTTTTCGGCTTGGCATTAAGCCACGCCACTGTTAATCGCTCCATGACTCTACATACATGGAGGGTGCTATGTAAATGCACATTGCTCTTTTTGTCATGTTAATAGTCCTAACAGCATACCCACTTCCCTGCTCTGATGAACTCCTGCGCTGCTTGTTGTCTCATTGGGAAAGTTAAATTTATTCCACTGATAAAGTCAGTTTGGTACATAACTCATTCCTTCTTAATGAAGTATTTAGGAACAGTAATTTTCTACACTTTGATCATGCTGATCTCTTTCTAAACAGCAACAAAATTATATTTGTATAGTGCCTTTCATATCGGGAGGACGTCCCAAGGCACCGGACAGTCAGTGTTGGGGACGGAATTGGGGAGAGTGGAGGGCAGAGGGGGAAGGAGGGTGATCGAAGGCACGGTCGAAGAGCAGATGGGTTTTGAAGAAGGCAAGGGAGGGGTAGAGGTGGAGGGACTGCGGGATGGAGTTCCAGAGGATGGTGGCAGAGTGACTGAAGGCCCGCATGCCAATGGTGGAGCGGACGAGGCAGGGGACGTGAAACAGACCGGAGCCTGCTGAGCAGAGGGAGTGTGCAGGTTGATAGGGAGGAGCAAGGCCATGGAGGGCTTTGAAGGTGAGGACCAGCATCTTGAATCTTGAACCCCAGCTCTTTAGGATGTCCTCCCAACGTGAAAGGCGCTCTATAAATATAATTTTGTTGTTGTTGAATTGTGATGGGAAGCCAGTGGAGTCAGACGAGGATGGAGGTGATAGGGTCGTGGAGCCTGATGCAGGAGAGGACAAGGGCTAAGGATCACACGATTCAGGAATGCTGTGGTTCCATCTGAAGCTTCAGGCATTAGGTATGCTGAGATGTGATCCTGGAGCAGAATTTCAATCCAGAAGTGGAAAAGAATTTAAATCAAGCAATAATCTCTTATGCCCCCTATCAGATGCCAAACGTTGACATCAGGCCATGTTTTGCATAGGGATTCTCTCTGATTGTTTCAATGCGTTTCTGAATTGGGTGAAGATTGACATCCCGGATGCATTACTGAATGACATGGATCATATATCTATCTGATCACACAACAATCACAGTATCAGCGTTATATTCTCACAAAAATGAATGCTGCACAACACCTTCAAAGGTGGTTGATTCAGCACACATACTGCCAGCAGAGTTCACCGTTCTTTAGGCGGCTGCTTGGAATCTGCTGTTTGAATGTTCCCTTAACAACAACAACAACAACAAGATTCCATTTATAAAGCGCCTTTCCCGTCAGGAGGACGTCCCAAGGCGCTGCACAGTTGGGTCAGGACCCGAGCAGGGGGGAAATGGTCAGGGTGAGGGGAGGGAAGGGAGGGAGCGAGGAGGAGGAAGAGAGTCGAGAGGGGAGCTGAAGACACGGTCAAAGAGAAAGGTCTTGAGACCGGCCTTGAAGGAGGAAAGGGAGGAGGCGGCGAAGGCACTGGGGGATGGAGTTCCAGAGCCTGGGGGCTGAGAGGCTGAAGGCCCGACCACCGATGGTAGGGCGGTTGGGGCGGGGGATGTGGAGCAAACCGGAGCCAGAGGAACGGAGGGTACGGGCAGGTAGGTAGGGGGATAGTAGGTCGGAGAGGTAGGAGGGAGCAAGGCCGTGAATGGCCTTGTAGGTGAGGATGAGGATCTTGAATTCAATCCTCTGGGGGATGGGGAGCCAGTGGAGGCGAGCGAAGGTGGGAGTGATGTGGTCCCGAAGCCTGGTGCGGGACAGTACACGAGCTGCAGAGTTCTGAATGACCTGCAGCTTGTGGAGGGAGGGGCCGGGAAGGCCGACGAGGAGAGAGTTCCCATAGTCCAGCCTTGAGGTGACAAAGGCGTGGACCAGAGTTTCAGCAGCGTGAGGGGTGAGGTAATGCCGTAGTCTGGAGATGTTCCGGAGGTGATGGAAGGCGGTGCCAGTTGTGGTGCGGATGTGAGGGAGAAAGGACAGCCCAGGGTCGAATAAAAAGCTTAGTCAAAGCTTTCAGTACAATAGTGTTGGAACTTCCAGTTTTTAAATGATGTTGAGCTTGTTGTTTTAAACAGACTCAATTTGGTCCAAACCAATACTTTTTTTCCATTTTTCTGCAAAATGTTTTTTGAAGGGAACTTCTTCCTCTTGCTTCTGCAATTTCTCACCTGCAATTTCTCTTTTCTTAGCCAGGCACTATGTATCTAACTAGAAATAAGTGGCTGCAGGTGGCGAGCTAGGTGTCTAACATGTGGAAACCAATCACTATTCTTAAGAGAATATCCCCAATATTCTAGGTGCGGTCTCACCAAGGCCTTATACAACTGCAGCAAGACTTCCCTACTCTTGTACTCTAACCCTTTTGCAACGAACAGCAACATGATATTAGCCTTCCTGCATTCACTGCACTTTACAGTGAATCATCTAAAGTACATTGATCCATTTTCCTGTTGTGAAGGTGTTACATGAAATAAAAGGATTATCATTATCTATCCTCATCATAGTGAGCGTCAACATTCACTTGTCTTCAGCTGGTTTTAGCTGGCATACTGCAGACTATTTGCTGAGCCTTAAATTTACTCAAGAATAGTTTTAAAAGAACCCTGTTACCTTTTTAAGACTGTGGGTGTCGCTGTTGCACAATGAAGCAGCACTACCAAGATACATGTGTACTGTGTCGAGAGGTGCTGTTCGTCAATGGCCCAGTAATTTATTTGCAGTATTTTACAGTGAAACTATTTCAATGATTAATCTTTCCCCAACTCACCTCACTCAGCTCCCACCCATAGCTCCGGTGCTCAGCCAGAATTGTCAAGCATTCTGGACGTCCTCCCAACATGAAAGGCCCTAAATAATTGTAAATCATATAGTATTATTGTTGTATTTTCATTTAGCTTGGATTATGTTAGTGCCACAGATGTCTTATTTGACTACAGATCTGAAATTCTGTGTCATGTTGTATTAAGGAAATATTTTGAAAGTAACATTAGATGAAACGTGTGGGGTGTTGAATGCTATGGGTTTGCTTTCTCACATCCTCCCTCAATTCCTGAATGAAACCCAATTAACCGCATATCGAATGTGTCAAAGTCTTCAGTAGATCTTAACTCCTCACCCATGTCAACCCTTTCACGTGCCTGGGGCATTACCAGGCTGTGGTCTAAGTGATTTTTCTTTGACTTTGATTCCTCACCTCTGCAATGCCCCTTGTACCATCAGCGGCCTCCCCCCGCTTTCCTTGCAAGACCCCTTTTCTGGGTGAGTGCTTTGTTGTGTGCCACCCTGCAGGACTCAGTGGTCATGTGTTCCACAACAATAATAATCTTTACATTTAGAAAAATGCCTTTCACTTCGAGAGGACATCTCAAATGGCTTCACAATATACTGTACCGCAAAGTGGAGCACCTGTATCTGAGGGTAATCTGGGTCTGTAGTGCTGGGGGAGGAAGGAGTGTGTGGAGTCCTGTAGCTTAGTGGTTAGACCACTCGCCTCACAAGCAAGAGGATCTGAGTTCAATTCCCGAGCAGGGCAAAACGTTGGGCACATTTTCTTACTCCACACACTTCTGTTTACCTAGCAGTAAGTAGGAACCTGATTTATAGTTGATTGGTGGATTGCTTTTCCGCGGATAATAATCCCTTAAAAAAATAATTGGTCACTGTCGTGCGCAATTGGCTACCAGGTGTTGCCCACAAAATATAGGGTCAATTAATTTTACAATATATTCTATGAAGCACTTTGTGATGTCTCGAAGTTGTGATAAGGCACTACAGCAAATGCAAGGATTATTATTATTATTATTATATTATAGAAGGTGGTCCAAGGAGGGCACAATAACGATCATCATCCTTGAGGTGGGATTCAGTAAGGTGGTGGATGGGTTGGGGAAGAACCCTACTCTCTACTGGTGTGTCCCCAGGGGAGTCCAATAGTGCCTGTGAAGAGGTTGCTCTTGAAGCAGATACCATTAGTATTTCATTACTTAATTGGAGCTAAATGTGCAGTAACCTTAATCTTGCACACTTTTGTCTCAATGCGTCTTTTCTGCCTCCTCCCAATCTCCTCCCAGCCTCCTTGGCCTCTGCTCCAAAGATGAGCTTCTCATTTACAATAAAGATAAGTATTGCATTTGCCTAAAATACACAATCACTATAATTTACAGTATGTCCTGTGAAGCTCAATCATGGCTTTGTCATATCCTGCTTAGATTTTTTGCCGGTCTCCCTAGCTCCACCATTCACAAGCTGCAACTCATCCAAAACTTCGTCCCTGCATCCTCACCCATGCTAAACTCTGCATAGCCATTATCCAATCCTCACACGTCTCCACTGGTTACTTGCTTAATTTCAATGTCCTCATCCACCCATACCCAGGACCTTCTTATCTCTCTGATCTTCTCCTGTCCCACTCCTCTCCGCTCAGTTAACACAAGCTGGACGTGTGCGCCCTACACTAAACATGGACAGGAGCGATAAGTACAAAGAACTATTAAATTTAGCTCAACAATGTTTCAGATTGTGACAGTTAAAGAATTCTGTAATTATACAGCCACTGGTGAAATCCATGAAGAACAAATCAATTCAGTTAAGCAATTGAGTTTCATTTCTAAGCTAGTCGCAGGGCTGTCTGTCAACATCTTACTTTATTGAATTTTAGCAGTTTTCAACCTGCTGCCTGAATGGAACATGTTGTTAGTGGAGCAGGGAGGACGGGCCGGGTGGGGCAGGGGGGATAGGGAGCAGAAAGAAAGAGATAGAAAGCTGACATCAACTTATTGGTTTTAATTAGATCATGGCCGCCCATCGGGAAAATTCAGTGACACGTTAATAGCAAACCAACACAGCCTTTGGGCAGCTAAGGGATGCACATTGACTCAATGTCCTAAGTCGCTCAGTTTTAATAGTTGACATTCGCGTGGCTCTGATTCAAATTGTTTACTGTGCTGCAGAGTTGAACTGTGACTTGGAATCACATTCATTGAATAAAGACCTACTGTCTTGTTCCAAAACATAGACAAACGGAGGCGGATAGATAGACAGACTGAACATGTCATTTTTCTAATTTGTCTGGATCTGAATAATAAATCACTGATTTCGAACCAGTCTCATTCTCTTATTCAATTGAAATGAGAGGAAAGCAATATTACCACCAATGCTTTCATTGGTTTTTATACTGTAATGATTCTTGTCTGGTTTTTCTGTCAAGCAGTTATGAATGTCGTTTAGGAAATGTTGATGGCAATGTTTTAAAAAAAAGCAGTTTATTCATTTTTTCCAAGCCTTCAGCCCATGCTGTACATACCATTCTCCCAGCAAGAGTGCTGGCATCCTTCATGTCAGAAGTCTATCTTCCAACATCTCTGAATGAAATAGCCTGTGGTACATGTGTAATACTGCTGCTAGCTGGCTCTCTCTTTGCTGCTGCAGAGAAAGCTGGTAGTGTCAGACCTGGGCACCTTCCCAGCAGAGATGAGAGGTGAGTGTGCGAATATTCATTGTTGAGTACCTGGATATGAGGAAAGCATTGATTGGCACATTAGAGAAGCTTATTCTTAGAACAAACATTAGTGTTTTCCTTTACATTCATACCAGCACAAGAAAATATATATTATCGGCCCATCACACCTGTTCCTTTTCCAGGCCATGCAAAGCCCCTATTTATTCTGTCTCTGGAGAAAATGCTGCAAAGATGTTCTGTGTTTCTCAAAGATATTCGATTAGCCCTCCCTCCCCAATCCTGAATATTTACTTGAAAGCAATTAGTCAGTTTTGTTGAACAGATAATGTCATTTGTACCTGAAAGCACATGGTTAAGTTAGTTTGGAAGCAGCTTCCAATGTTGATGACAGCTTGGCTTTTATCATCTTTCTGGCTTCTGTAACCGCTGTTTCACAGTATGAGCTCTGTTCCAGAAATCCCCTATCATTTATGATCAGGAAAGACTTCCACAGGGGATGTTTGTGGCTTTATTTTGTGCAGATGCTTCCCAGGGACTGCACAAGATGCTCATAGTTTAAGATCCCCTGAAATACCAAGGATAATCTAAGGGCTCAATATATTTCATAGGTGATTCTATGGGAAAATGGCTATAAACTTAATGGCTCTTTTCAACCCTGTGCTAAACCTATGGACTCTGACTGAGGAATGGTACAATGCTTCACGTTTCTGTACATGATTGTCCGTTAGGAACATTTTCAGTGGGACAAAACAGTGCTATCGGCTTTTTGAACCACAGGTGATGCTTTACAACAACAACAAAATTACATTTGTAAAGCACCTTTCACGGCGGGAGGATGTCCCAAGGCGCTGAACAGTCGGGGAACAGGACCCGAGCGTGGAGGGCCATGGTTGGGATGAGGAAGGGCAGAGAGGTAGGAGGGCGGCTGAAAGCACGGTCGAAAAGGAGGGTCTTGAGTCATGCTTTGGAAGGAGGAAAAAGAGGGAGCAAAGCGAAGGGAATGGGGGATGGAGTTCCAAAGGGTGGGGCAGAGAGGCTGAAAGCTCGGCCGCCGATGGTAGGGGAGGTCGGGCGGGAGACATGGGGCAGGACGGAGCCGGCTGAATGGAGGGGGCGGACAGGTTGATAAGATGTTAGCAGGTCAGAGAGGTAGGAGAAGCAAGGCCATGGAGGGCCTTGAAAGTGAGGATGAGGATTTTGAATTCTATCCTCTGAGGGATGGGGAGCCAGTGGAGCCGGGCGAGGGTGGGGGTGATGGTGTCACGGAGCCTGATGTGGGAGAGGACATGAGCTGCAGAGTTCTGGATGAGCTGCAGCTTGTGGAGGGAAGATTTGGGGAGCCGACAAGGAGGGAGTTTTCTTAGTTGAGTTTTGAGGTAACGAATGCATGTATGAGGTTTTCAACGGCCTGGCGGTTGAGGCAATGTTGTAGATATGGGGAAGAAAGGACAGTTGAGGGTCGGACAACATGCCAGGTTTCTGACTAGTTGGGTGGGGTGGAGTGTACATCCGTGTATGCTGATGCTGCCTGAGGTGCGGAGGTGCTGGAGTGAGCCAATCAGCAGGGCCTCGGTCTTGCTGACATTCAGCTGTAGAAAGTTGGCTCTCAACCAGGACTTGATGGCTTGACAGGCAGTCTGTCAGTTGTCCTGGAATCGAGAGTGGAGGCAGAGAGATAGAGTTGGTGTCATCTGCGCACATGTGGAACTTGACCCCATGCATACAGTATCACCCGAGGAAAATTATAAAGGTCTTGCTGGATTGCTGTATGTTGTTCAGTGCAACAAAGGGGAGGAAGCCTATTCTGTTGAATGTGAATGAATGCTGAGAGCTAGTGACTTGAAATAAGTTGGAGTTGTGAAGTTGGGCTGGTTCCTGGAGAACTTTGAAAAGTCAGGGGGTTGTAGGGGCCAGGGGGTGAGGTAATGATGGTTGTTTTGAAAGGGAAGAATAGAAGGCACTGGTGGAAGATAATAACAATAATAATAATAATTCTTACATTTGGTAGAGCACCTTTGCCCATCTGAAGGACTTCTTAAAGCGTTTCACAGGAATTATTGTGCAGGGGAGGAACTGTGTATTTGTTAGCAAATGCAGCAGTACAATTACACACAAAATGTCCCACAAACAGCCATGAAATGAAAAAACACTCTTATTTGGGGGATTGTTGACCAGGACACCGGGAGAAACTCCCTTCTCTATTCAAATAGTGCAGTTGGATGTTTAATTTCCACCTGACAGTCAGATGGGACCTCGGTTTCATAGAAATTTGGGAAGGACTGACTATATCACATAAAGAAATTTTGATCCACAACATTCCAATAGTGGCCTCATCATTTATTATGTAAGGTTAGAATATCTTGACTTGGCTTGTAAACAAATGATCTTGACCAAGTATCCTGATACAATAAGCCTTATTTATGATGACAACAGCGACTAATCTTATTCACAAATGCTAAGCGCGAGAAATTCATGTATTAGAAAAGAAACAGGAATTTAGATTGGTCATGTTATTTGGGGAATGAATTAAGATAACGTATGGAACTCGTTACCCCAAAGGGCTGTTGACGCTCAGTCCTTGAACATATTCAAGACTGAGATAGATAGATTTCTTATTGCAAAAGGGTTTAAGGGATATGGGGATAAGGCAAGGTTAGGTTATTAGCTGGAGTTAGATTAGAGGATCAGCCATGATTGAATGGCGAGGCAGGCTCGAAGGGCCGAATGGCCTACTCCTGCTCCTACATGTTATGTAAGACGAATATATGTAAATTCACGTGCAAAATTCCTGTGAGCCTGGCTTTGCTATGTTTTGTGGGAGGAGTTGTTTAACATAGAAAATTGCAATAAGGTTCATTGTTATTATTATTATTGTATTTTAGAGGAACATCAGCACTGTATATATAAATTCTTTGGAATATGTATGTGTACTGGAATAAGACACCCAACTCTCTCTCTGCCTCAACCTTCAATTCCAGGACAGTGCTGTTCTGACCGATTGTCTGTAGGACATCAAGTCCTGGATGAGAGCTAACTTTCTCCAGTTGAATGTCGATAAGAGCTCTCCAGCTTGGCTCCCGTTAGTGCCTTCTCACCTTAGTATCAATTTACATATATGCACTCACCACATCATGGAGCCAGTGCGTAAGTTTGGTGTCTTGTTTAACTCTCAACTGTCCTCCATTCATCCTTTGACCCATTCTTCTTTCTCCCACACAATGATTAACTGCACATCTCTCCTCATGCTGGTCTTAACATTTAATTTTATACAGAATTGTAAAAAAAATCTTCAATTTAGTCTTCAATTGGAAGCTGTTTCTGGCAGCTGTTTACTTCTTTAAAAGAACTAGCTTCCAAATTAAGACTCATTCTGCATAATCCTAAATTTTAAGAGAAAATTTTAACAAGCATTTTGGTCTTTTGAACCTCAAACCTATACTGCTCAACCTGTTATTCTGAGTGATTTAATTGGTGATTGTGGAAATGGGATTTTTATTTCTGCCACTGTCAGACCACAGGAAACGTTCTCAAATCTGATAATATGATGGTATTGGCAGTGGCTTTATTTTTAAACAAAATAAAGATTATCAAGTTCTTGTTTATACAGCCGGTTCTCACACACAATCCTTGTGCACGTTCAAAAATGTGGCCTTTACAGGCCATTTTTGGAGTTTGAAGCAATGCTTTCATTGTTTATGGCCTGTATTACAACAACAACTTGCATTTATACAGCGTGCTTCACATAGGATAGCATCTTGGAGCCCCGTACAGTGATGCGGTTGGATGGTGAGCAAGGGAAAATGGGGAGGTGACCATATTCGTGTTCGAAGAGGTGGGTTTTAAGGTAGCAAAGGTAGATAAAAATGGGCGAGGCGGAATGATTGAGGCAGGGTGTTCCAGAGATAAGCGTGTAGTGACTGAAGGTTCAGCCACTGATGGTGTCGCACAGGGGAATAGGGGTGTGCAGCAGATCTGTGTTAGCTGAGTGGAAGGGCCAGGCAGAGGAGTATTATACCAGCAGGTCAGAGTGGAAGGGAGGTACTAGATATGAAGGGACTTGTATGTCTTGATAAGGATATTCAAATTGATTCTTTCAGACATGGGGAATCAGTGGAGCCTGGCAAGGATTGGGGTGATGGTGGTGTGGAGTTTGGTATGGGTGAGCATGTGGGTGGCAGAGTTTTGTATTAGCTAGACCTTGTGAATGCTGGAAATGGGGAGATCAGCAACTGATGCATTAGAGAGTGAGTTTATGACAATCCTAGTTTGCATACAAATTGAGTTACAATTGATACATGTATTATGTATGTTGAATCTTGTTACACAAGTTGCCCTGTCCTGAGCTATTGGACACAGGATTTACTGATTGAGTAGCTGCCACCAACTGCAATTTTGACCTTCGCTGTGAATTTAGTAACTTGGCCTTTGGATAGAGTGTTATCGCAAACCCCCTTTATGATAGGAACACTCCAAGACGTTCTCCTAAAATCAACAATATAAGTGCAAATTACTGTTATAGTCTGAATATCTACAAAATGTCAGTCTTAAAGCAAAGACTTTGCTCATAACAAACAAGGGATAACATCTGTGTGTTTCGTAAAGACTGGGACACACGTTGACAAAGGTAAGGGTAGGGAAGGGCGCAGTGAATGTTAGTGTCAAAATCTTAATACGGAATACTTTAGATGATGGATAGGAACTTTAGATGATCGATACCATGAGCTGTATATTGCCTTGCACCTGGTTCCACTTGATCTATGCAGATATTTCATTTTGGCTGCAAGGGCTGCAAAAGGTTGGGCTGTAAGCGCAAAAGATTGTTTGGCAAGGACAAGGCTGTGTAATGTGAGTTGGGCTGCAAAGTTTATTGCTAAAAGCTCTGATGGCAAAATAGCTATAAAATGTACTGAGCTGTTAATTAACCATGCACTCCCCATGTGCACAGTGGGAGTTACAGTATTTACTTACATGTTAGTTTAACATCTAAGAGTCCCGGAGCTGCCAAGCAGGACTTTCCTATTAGACTGGTACAATGCCCAGTTTCTTCTTGTGGTTCTTCAGGGATCATTTAACGCTCAATATGCCTATTGGGCTGACAGTTTAATTCTTACTGAATCAGTGCAGAAAATATATTCTCTTAGGATTATCCCTATCCAGAATGAATTCCAATTTGTGTTAATTTCCTTCTGGAGGGTGTTGCTGTTTGTTGAGCACTTAGAAAACGCTGAACCGTATGTAGAATGGGATTTTCTATTATAAGCATATATCGTCATTGTCGGAGGAGCACCCTTGCTGGATGCACAAGGAGGTACAGAGCAAAACCCAAATCATTCAGCGAGTGAGGAAGACCAGTTAAATCAATGTTCAGAAGTTCCCAATTGCATATTCATATTCAATTTGTTCTTCACATAGTATGTTTAAGATTATTATTATGTTTCAGTGCTCTGAGACGCAATCCTGCATGAAGGGTGCTATATAAAGGCAAATTATTGTATGTGGAGATGAATCTTTTGCTTATGTCACATATACAATGATATTTCTGCAAATAGCCACAGTGTTCAGACTAAAGTTTCTTCCTACTTCTGGAAGTTGCACTTAAAGGGAACGTCTGCTATGGTTTCTTATGGCAGTGACTGCTGTTTCTGACCATGACTCCTCAACACCGGCTGTCTCCTGCATGTACTGCCTCTCTCTCCAGGTTGTCGACACCTTAATCACATCTTAACTACTTGAACACCCTGCTCGACAGACTCCTCAACTCCTCTCTACACATGCTGCTTACGAACTCTGCAGCCAATGCCCTCTCTCACACCAGGCTCCATGAGCTCACTTGGCTGCACTAGCTCTTCATTCACAGTGGATTGAATTCAAGATCCTTGTCCTTGCAATTAAATCTGGCTATGTTCTAGCCCCATCCTACTTCTGCAACTACCTGAAAGCCTAACGCTCAGACCGCTCCCTCCACTTAGCGAAGCCCATCCTGCTTCATGTTCCCTGCCGGACCTGCCCCACCATCGGCGGTTGGTCTTTCAGCCGTTCTGCCCCACTCTATGGAACTGAATTCCAGAGACCCTTCACCTCACACCCTCCCTCCCCACCTTTAGAGTCCACCTTTCTTTCTGACCTCAATTTTAATCATCTTTCCCGTGAAGCACTTTGAGGCCTACTCCCAACGTGAAAGTCTCTATACACTTTATACACTAAGGCTCTTTACTTACCTGCCCGTACCCTCCATTCCTCTGGTCTGCTCCACAGCCCCGCCCCAACCGCCCTACCATCGGTGGCCGGGCCTTCAGCCTCTCAGCCCCGAGGCTCTGGAACTCTATCCCCCAGTGCCTTCGCCTTACCTCCTCCCTTTCCTCCTTCAAGGCCGGTCTCAAGACCTTTCTCTTTGACCGTGTCTTCAGCTCCCCTCTCGACTCTCTACCCCCTCTTCGCTCCCTCCCTCCCTTCCCTCCCCTCACCCTGACCATTTCCCCCCTGCTCGAGTCCTGACCCAACTGTACAGCGCCTTGGGACGTTCTCCCGACGTGAAAGGCGCTCTATAAATGAAATCTTGTTGTTGTATATAAATATAAAATTGTTTTTGTCGTTCTCCCGATGTCCTAGCCAACAATCCATCAGATAAAATTAATCATTCACCTCATGGCTGTTTGTGGGACATTGCATTGTGCAGATTAGTTTCCACAATCACCTTAAAATACACAATCACTAAATTTTACAGTGAATCCTGTGAAACCTTTGAGGTGTCCTGCTAGCATGAAAGGGGCTATATGAAATGCAAGATTATTATTATAATTGCATTATAGCTTGTTCCTTTTTCCACTAGCTTCGCACCTTTGAGCTGCTCAAGGACAAAGGGTGGTGTTCAGTGCCTCTGCCAGAAGAGATTGAAAAGTTAATTGTTTTAAAAAAATGTTGTTGACTATAAAATAAGTACCTGGACTCAGTGCAGGTCCACCTAGTTAAGGGCAATCCTGAAAGACAAGGTGCTGTGTCTTGGGTTAACCAATTCTGGTAGTAAAAATCATTTCACTGGGTTGATATTTGTCAGATGAAAGTTCACCAACCATAACTTCTGGGTCACAACCCCGCATTCTGAAAGATTAAAGATTATTACCAAATGCACAAATGATTATCGTAAGTTATCCAGAAGGAATAACCTGTCATAAACAAAGTCAAAGCAGACCCTTTTAATGGTAAACTGCATCAGAGCGACTTTATGAACATCACAATGGCTAGTGAATCTTTGATAACTTTTTAAAAATATATTCAAACAGGAATCTGTATTAATCTGGTTAAAACTGCCCTACCACTTTGGGGCAGGCAGAAGAGGTGGAAATTGAGTGAGGGAGTGCTTAAAATTAGTAAGGGAAATACAAAATTGAAAGCTTGTGGTTTCACTGTGCCAGAAACTGCTGTGAATACGATTTGCCTTCTGGTACTATTGATTTGTTGATGATGACCAGATATTCCAATGTTTTCCAAAAAAGACACTAGAGTTTAATTTGTTAACAATCAAGAAAACAAAGTGTATTACCTGATGGGAAGCTGCTACGTGATCAATGGTTTATAGACTTGACTCATGAGGGAAAAGTATGTGTCTGACTCATGGGTTAGGTTTGTGAACACTGTTAACCTGCAGCATTATCTGTTTTACAGTAATTAAGTTTGAACACCTGCTAATAATGGGTGATTTCAACCTGCGCCTAAACTCCTCTTGCTCCCACCTTCTCGGATTTCACTGCCCTCCTCTCCTCCCTAAACCTCACCCTCCACATAAACTCGCTGACCCACAGCCGTAGCCACTCCCTCGACCTCGCCATCGCACATAGCCTTGACATTTCCGACCTGTCAATCACGGACAAGGCCATCTCGGACCATTTCCTCATCTCCTTCTCCTCCCACATCCCCTTCCCCTCTTCCAAGCCCTCCACCATTTTTTTACACCCCTGGAAAAAGCTCCTCACTAAGTCCCTCACAAATGCCCTCTCTTCCTCGGACCCCCTCTCCCTCTGGCCCTCCACCCACAGCGATCCTGATGCAGCTGTCAAGCTGCTCAATGACCATCTCTCCACAACCTTCAATTCCCTGACTCCCTTAAAATACAGGGTCATTTCCAAACCCACCCGCCCACCCCCCCCCCCCCCCCCCCACCCCCCAGTACAATAGGCATCTCCGCTCACTTAAAACACAAACCCGGACATTCGAGCGCAGATGGCATAAATCCAGCCTCATGATTCACTGTGGCTGGAGCACTTCCACACCGACCACCACGCCCTTTCACAGGCCAAAACTGACTTTTACTCCAAAGTCATCCTGGAGTCAAACAACAATCCAAAGACGCTGTTTTCCACCATCCTCACCTCCTTCGTGCACCCCTCAAGCCCCCTCTATCCTCACATCAAACGCCAAGTGTGAAGAGGTCCTAGATTTCTTCGCCTCAAAGATTGAAAACATCTGCTTGGCTGCATCATCCTCCCCACTACCCCATTGTGCCCTTCCACCCCCCCCCCGCCAGACCATCCACACCGCCTTATCTCTCCACTACAGCTACTGCCACTCCCCACTCCTTACATTCCTTTGGCCCCTTTCTCCTTCATCCCTTTCCACACAATCACCCAGATGAAGTTCACCACCTGCTGGCTCAACCCTCTCCCCACCCAGCTGCTGGTCACTCAACCCCCCCATTCTCTCCCCTCTGCTGCCCGACAATGTTAACCAGTCTCTCTCCGCAGGCACTGTTCCACTCCCCCTGAAAACCGCTGTCATTATAGCCCCCTCCTCAAAAAACACACCCTCGATCCCTCTAATCTTTCACACTACCATCCCATCTCGTGGAGTCCTGTAGCTCAGTGGTTAGAGCACTCGCTTTGCAAGTGAGAGACCTGAGTTCAATTCCAGGCAGGTCAGGGCGAAACCTTGGGCAAGTTTCCTTACTCCACACGCCTAATAATAATCCCTCCAAAAAAACAAAACAATAATAAATTGGTCATTTTCAATCTACGACTGTTTGTGGGACATTGCTGTGCGCAATTGGCTGCCGCGTTCGCCCACAAATATACAGTCAATTCACTTTACAGTGTGTTCTGTGAAGCGCTTTGGGACGTCCTCCTGACGTGAAAAGCGCTATATCAAATGCAAGGATTATTATTAAGGATTATTATTATTATTATCTCCAACCTACCCTTCCTTGCCAAAGTCCTGGAACACATTGTTGCAGGTCAACTTCCGTCACACCTCTCCCTCCACTCTCTCCTTGAGCCACTGCAGTCTGGTTTCCGCCCTGTCCACAGCACAGAGACAGCGCTTGACAAAGTCACAAACAACATTCTCTCTATCTGTGACCAGGGCTCCCTCTGCCTCCTCATCCTCCTGGATCTCTCTGCCATGTTCAACACAGTCAACCACGCCATCCTCCTCCATTGCCTCGTTTCCCTCATCTACCTTAGTGGACCCGCACTCGCATAGATCGAGTCCTACTTAACCACTACCTCCATTTTATCTTGGCAAATGGTTTCTCCTCCCGCCCCTGCCCGGTCACCTGTGGGGTACCCAGGGCTCCATCCTTGACCCTCTTCTTTTCCTTATCTATATGCTCCCTCTAGGCGATGTCATCCGCAGACATGGGGTAAACTTCCACATGTATGCGGGTGACACACAAATCTACTTTGCTTCCTCCAGTACCAACTCCTGGTCTGCCAATGATTTAGCAGCTTCTCTGGCAGACATCAGGGCCTGGATGAGTGGAAACTTCCTGCAGCTGAATGTGGACAAGACGGAAGCCATACTCCTTGGCTCCCATCAACGTCTTCACCTTGTGGATCTGAACTCCTCAACCTCCCTGGGCTCTCCCTTACACTCACCGAGCCAATACACAATCTAGGCATCCAGTTCGATCCCCAGCTGACCTTCCTGGCTCAGTCCCTGATGAGGAACGCCTTCCTCCACCTCCCCCACATTGCCCGCCTTTGACTGTACCTTATTCCAAATGCAGGCAAAACCTTGTGCATACGTTTGTCACCTCCCGCCTGGATTACTCAAACGCACTCCTCGCCGGTCTTCCCAGCTTCACTATTCACAAGATCCAGCTCATTCAGAACTCTGCTGCCCACACACTGACCTGGACCAAGCTCCGTACCCACATCTCACCAGTTCTGGCCAGGCTCCACTGGCTCCCCATCACCGGATCGACTTCAAGATCCTCACACTCGTGTTCAAATCTCTTCACTCTCTGGCACCTTCCTACCTCTCCTCATTCCCCAATCCACCACTCGGCACCTCTGCTCGACTGGCACCAGCCTCCTGCTTGTCCCTCGTGCCTCTGCTACACCATCGTAGGTCACGCTTTCAGCTTTCAGCCATTACATCCCCAAACTCTGGAACACTCTCCTTCAATTCCTCCGCCTTGTCGCCTCTCTCCCCTTTTTCAAGTCCCACCTAAAAACCTTCCTTTTTGACCGTGCTTACAGTCATCCCTCCCACCTCTGGCTCTGAGTAAGGCTCCGCCATTGTTAAGTGCTCTGAGACCCTATTTGGTGAGCGCTATATAAGTGCAAGCTGTTGTCGTTGTTGTTGAACTAGCCTCATTCTGAACTAATGATTTATTTTCTCTTACTGATAAAAAATAATACTTTACAGATAAACATTACAGAGCGAGTTTCACATTCCAAACACTTATTTCTCTCTCTTGTGAATCTGTTAAAGGTCTTTCCAACGTTCAGAATATACACTTCTTAATCTCCTTTGGATGTTCAGGTGAACGTTAAAGATCCCATGGCACTGCTGTATAACAAAAAGAGAAGGGATTTTCTCCTGGTATCCTGGTCAATATTTTCCCAGATAAAATTGGTCATTCACTTCATGGCAATTTGTATTGCAGGATATTTCTGTGTGCAAATTAACTGCCGTGTTTACCACATTATGGTAAATCCTGTGAAGTACTATGAAACATCCTGACATGAAAAAGATGCTATATCAAATGCAAGGATTATGATATTATTATTGTTGTTATTATTATTATTATCTGGCTTGTGTTAAATATAGAAACAAACTAATAGGGTTTGTGAAAGAGTAGTCCTGGGCTTTCATCAAAGAAAGAGCAAATTTGCACCACAAATTGAAATCAAACAAGTGTCTTATTTAAACCAACATAAAGACTATCCTCACAGCAACATTGGAAGCATCTTCTTTGTACCAGGAGAGAAACCTCACTGATCTTTCTGCTGCACCGTGGGTATAGAGTTTCTCTCATCCATCCATGCAGCACTGGTCTTGGGGAAAACTCCTCAAAATAACTGACGTATTGGTCCATTATATAATGAATGGTTTATAGTCTTGACTCATGGGACAAAAGCATGTGTCTGACTCATGGGTTCAGCTCGTGACTACTGTTAACAGTACCTTTATTTGGTTTCCAGTGATTACATTAGAGCTAGCCACATTTTGAAAAATGAGCATCAGCCCAACTCATTGGTAGCATCAGAAGGTTGTGGATTCAAGCCCCACATTGGGATTTTGAACTCACAGCCTAGGTTGACACTCCAACACAGAGCCAATGGACTGTTGTTTGTTAGATGATTGTTGTATTGTCTTAATTTGAAAGAAGACCTGTAGCTCAGTGGTTAGAGCACACACCTCGCAAGTGAGAGACCTGGGTTCAATTCCCAGCAGTTTGAAACCTTGGGCGAGTTTTCTTACTCCACACGTCTGATAATAATCCCTCAAGAAAAAAACCCAATCATAAATTGGTCACTTCAATCCACAACTGTTTGTGAGACATTGATGTGCGCAATTGCTGCAGCGTTTCGTCCACAAATATACAGTCAATTCACTTTATAGTATATTGTGTGAAGTGCTTTGAGATGCCTAGAAGACGTGAAAAACACTATGTCAAATGCAAGGATTATTATTGTTAAAGGAGGTGCTAAGCCGAGGTCCCATCTGCTTATTCAGATGGATGTTTAAGATTCCATGGCACTATTCGAAAAATGAGTCAGTTTCTCCTGATGTTTTGGCCAACAAACCCAGGATAAAATTGGATATTCACTTTGTGACTGTTTGCGGGAAATTTCTGTAAATGAATTGGCTGCCACATTTGCCTACAAATACACAGTCACTACTGCTGTCCACCAGCGGTCAACGTTTATGGTTTCTTGATTTATGCCACAAATAAAGAAATATTCAATCAAGAAAACACACAGCTGATTGAACATGGACTTACTTAGACTCCTGCGAATATTTGGGGCAGAATGGGACTGGTGTTTCTTCAAGTTCCCACGAACCACAGGTTGGACCATGAGCTCATTACCTGACCCTAAACTTCAGAACTGGAAGCAATAAATACTACCAGCTGGTAACATTGGCTTCACCGACTAGGACATGAGAGCACCTGTCTTTTGCAAATTGTCTTCCATTAAGACAAATGTGAGATGGCGAGGACCATGTGAGAATTCATTAACTGTTATAAAACATTTGGGTCAAATAATAGACATTTGATCTGTAGATTGCCCTTTCCTTCCGTGTGGTTCCTATGCCCCATACTCTCTCTTTCCAATAGGGAGGTTGGGTGGTCTCAGATCGGGAATCCTCCTCGACAAAAGCAGTCAGAACTGCACCTTTGTAGGGCTGCCGGAAGGCATGTGTAGGTAGTGTGGGAACGGAGGATTATCTCTTTGATGATGTAATGAGTGATTTTTAACTAGTTTCATACACGCACACTGGGCGACACACAGCAGCAACCTGAGGAACCGGTTATTTTTTTACACGTGAATCTGCTGCATGTGGAAATGTGGGAAGGAATCTTCACACACTGGCTGCCAGGATACAAATCTGAGCTCTCCAAGCAAAGCAAGGCACATAAATCAAAATTTGATTATTAAGTAGATATTTGTTGCCATGGTAAACTGTGCAGTCAATTATTAACTCAATTGTTACTTTGTGTAAGTACTTTTACAGGTAGACTTTATTATACGTTTTATATCTGTTTTAATCTGCAATCTGACCTTATAGAGTCAAATCACCAGGTTATAGCGGAGGTCACAGGGTAATATAAAGGCTTGTTGTGTTCTGAAATGTTATCCCGTTTGCCCGTTCAGATGGACTTTAAAGGTCTTGTGGCCCTATTTGAAAAGAGAGGGGAGTTTCCCTTGGTGTGCTGACCAACACACCAATTTCAAATAAAATTCATTTCATGGCTGTTTGTGGGATATTCTGTGTGCAAATTGCATTCTCCCACAAAATACAGTTGATACACTAAACAGAAACTTTGTACTGTGCTTTGACACATTCTCAACATCATAGGTGCTATATGAAACACAAGATTATTGTATTATATACTGGAAATTAATATTGTGAAAATATTATGAAAATAAGTACACAAGTCTCTTCAGATTCAGAATTTACCATCTGAAATCACTTTAAAAATCATATTCATCACAAATTTTGAAATTATTCAAGCCTGTTTAGTTGAAGGAGGCTGCTGAAATAGCTAAACAAGTATCAAAAGAGTAACACTGTGATGTCAATACTATCTCAACAATAGTATTAAACACAAATGCAGTCTAACTTTAGAAATTCCTTAAGCAATGAATGTGAATGACTAAAATGTGCCAAGCTTAGCTCCGGATTCTGATTAGTAAAAAACGATTCCGGGGCAGGAAGATTTCACTGTGGTTTACACGATTATGGCATAAATATAAATATTAACACAAACACTTTAATTTAAATCAACTACAGCAGCTGCAATTTACAATCAAATTTGTCTCATATACAAATTAATGATGTCTCAATGTCCTGATCTGATAAGAACATAATAATAATAATAATAATCGTCCTTGTATTTGATATAGTACCTTATCATGTCGTTGAGATGTCTGAAAGCGCTTCACAGAATATATTGTAAAGAGGATTGTCTGTATATTTTGTAGGTGAAATGCGGCAGCCATTGTACACAGCAGTCATGGATTGAGTAACCAAATATTTATTTATGTATTTATTTTGAGGGATTGTTATCCCTGGAAAGCTATCTGCCAATCGAGTAACAACCAGGTTCCTACTTACTGCTAGGTAAACAGAAGTGTGTGGAGTAAGGAAACTTGCCTAAGCTCTTGCGTCACCCCAGAATCAAACCTGGAACCTCTCGCTTGCGAGGCAAACGTGCTAACCACTACGCTACAGGACTCCACACGAGATTAATTTTTGGAGAGAGGGGGGAGCTCCTGTTCATTGCTTCACAGTAAACAACACACATTGCGCACAGCAGTCAATGTTTGTGAACTATTGTTGGTGATTTAATTATGAAAGCACACAAATTCAGGCCCAAACCTTTACATTTCGCAAAGTTATATCTTACATGAACCTTTATTGCACACCTGCGGTACATGTTACATAAAATCTAGGTGGACAGCAGAGAGTGCTGTAACATAAGAGCATTAAAATGCTTTGTACAGATGTTGTGAGGCATCAGCCAGCAGACACTGAGTGCCTACACATGCTGCTTTGCCCACTTTCCCCTTCTGGCAGTGAAGTAATAAGATTGCGTGTAATATCCTAGCCAGCAGCACCAGTCAATTATACTCCATGGCAACACATTGCTGCTCCTGAACCACAGTAACCTGCCACAGCTGCGAGGCATTCTTGGACAGATGCAATTTAATCATCTGGGACTAAATTCCAAATGCTGTTGCCCATATGCAGGCTTCCCCTGGCAAGAGCTGACACTTCACAAAAGGTAGTTAACGTTCCTTGCTTTCTGTGGTAGCTGCGTGGAATTCAATGGCAAATTCATCATTGCATAGCACACAAAGCTTCTATGAATAGGCATGGGTGTCTGCTTTCAACAGCTACCAATTTGTGACTTGAAAAACATTTCTGCCTTATTTTGTTACCAGGTCTACTGGGTGAGTTTAGTAATTAATGGGAAGCATGGGATATTTGCATGCAGACCACACTTTAAGCACTGAATTACACCCTGAACATTACTTATGTAAATTTAGACAGATGGCATAATTTGTGAGGTTAATGGAATTTTTGGGTTCAACCAAGCATCTGACCAGCTGTATGATTAAGAGTATTCAAACCAGACTGAGAGTTCCACATATATATGCCACCTAGACATGGAAATTTCCCTGTGTCTGGAATAGAACGGGCACTCTCTCCTTGAAGGAATGCACCCGAATTCCAGAGAGTATTTACCCCCCACCCCACGTGGGTACAGTTGAGCACCATCTTTGCTCTTGAAATAAAGTTTGCATAGTCATTCATTTCACCATTCCACTCCCAAACAGTGTGTCCCTGTTGTCGAGGTCTCCCAAGGCGAAAGCCTCCTGTGCATCATCAAAAAACCTCGACTTCAGCTTTTGGGGAGCTCCTCACTCGTCTCCTGTCTTAGACATGTTTGCGCATTTATTTCCCATTTTAAAAAAGGGTTTATGTACGGAGATGGGTTCAGCCTTCGATTATCATCT